TGGATTTTATTGTTTGCAATTAACCACGTGAATCAGAGTAAACCAAGAACTTGAAGATACAAGACCTCGTCAGTTTGGATCTATTTATGTGCAAGCGTGTTTTATTTAATCTGTGGACTTATTGGAGCATTATTTTGGATATATTGGATTAGTTGCAGTAATTGTTAGATGCAGATTGTATTTGGTGCGACTATTGAAGAAATTACAAGACAACAGCCAGTGTTTTTGGTGAGTTAGCCATTTTCTTGATTGAGGTTGGCATAAAATGGGTAATTAGCTGTCCGCCATCTTGCTTTCTTGTTCCCACAATTCCCGGCGGTCGGCCATCTTTGATTTTGAAGGAAGTGACGTCATTTTGAGAAGTTTTGAGCTCCAGATTCTCTGAGTAGATTTGGCTCTGTCTAATCTCATTTCTTTGATCGATATTCGTGAGTCATTCTGCTCTGAGTATTGGTGGCTCCTAGTCATTACCCCTCCAAGCTATAAATGCTCCTACTTTGTCGAGGCGATCTGACTCTCACCCAGGGTTGTATGTTGAGGAAGGTTTACTCTCATCGGAGCCAAGGTTACATTACCGGAACTGAGGTGCTCCAAGGCGAGAGATAACAGCTCTGTCTAATCTCATTCTTTGATCGACATTCTAGAGTTGTTATTCTCTACAGAGGTTGTAGTGAGGTTGCTCCTGCGAAGCGGTGACTCCGAGAGCAGAGGTTACTCTTTGGAGACAGTATAGCTCATTGAGTGAGAGCACTCTTTGGGTAGAGGTTACTCCTGAGACGAGGCGATTCCCGGGGCTGAGGTACTAGCAGTGTGTGGATCTCGTTCAAGAGCAGAGGTTACTCTTGAGACGAGGCGATTCCCGGAGCTGAGGTACTCCCAGTGTGTGGATCTCGTTGGAGAGCAGAGGTTTCTCCTGAGAAGTGACGACTCCAAGAGCAGAGGATACTCCCGGAGCCTGGACCCCTTCCAAGAGACAGTGTAGCTCAAGAGTGAATTGAGCAGAGGTTGTAGAGAAGTACATCCTGAGAAGTGGTGACTCCAAGAGCAGAGGTTACTCTCGGAGCCTGGACTCCTTCCAAGAGACAGTGTAGCTCATAGAGTGAAAGCACTCTTTTGAGGAGAGTTTAAAGTGGTTACTCCAGTGACAAGGCGACTCCCGAAGCAGAGGTTACTTCCGGAGCCAGGGCTCCTTCCCAAAGACGAGATAGCTCAAGAGGGAGAGCTCTTTTCAAGCAGCGCAGAGCGGAGTAGACAAGCAGAGTATTGCAGAGAGCAGAGCATAGCAGAGAGCAGAGCCGAGTATATCAGAGTATAGCAGAGCAGAGACAAGCAGAGTAGAGAGCAGAGTATTGCAGATTAGAGTAGAGACAGATAACTCAGAGCCAGAGTGTTTTGGACCCTTGTATATATATAGAGACATTTGCATTTGAGTTATTGGCCATAAAGGCTTTATTAAAGGACACTTTGAAATTTATTGTGATTATTGTGTTGAATAGATTGTTAAAAATCCTGTAATTGATTGTTTTGTATATTCCTGTGTTCTCCATCTCCTAGCTCAGTGACAGCCGAAGCACCAAACAAGCTCGGCGCCCGGGAGAAACACCTCCGAATCCCTTATCATCGCCACCAGACCTTCTCCGAGGGAGTACAGGTACTCGGCGGGAGTCTGGCGCGCGACAATATTATCGCCCATTTTTAGGGGCAAACGGGAAAGTTGAAGTTGTTCAGCTGTTTCCACACTGATGGTGAATCTCTATAGCCTGTATCTGTTAGGGTAACAGTAAATTAAAGCAAAATTCATACAAATCATACTTACCCTACCAAGGAACATCGAAGGATCTGGTGACATTTTGCATGTAATGTCTTGTTGGTATTTTTGCAAATTGAAATTTCAGAGCTAACTTTTGAATTCTTAGGTATACTGTAAATTGCTTTAATTTGGCGCTAGCTTATTTAATTTGGCAGATTGGGCAAATTTTCAAATTTTTGATGCTATTTGATTTGGCTACAGTAAGTATAGTACTGAGTAACGCATGATTAGAGCAAGTTACAGTACCTGTTATAGTGAAATAATTATCTAGTATTCCTGGCTTTGTATAAAAAACCTCCTACCTTATACCCACCTACCCACCTACGTGGAACATGATACAGTCATTGAAGGGTTCAATTTTAAAGATTATTAAATCTCGAAAATAGCTCAAATTATTTAACATTTCTACAATTCCGTTTTATTTTATGACTAGAGAGATGACAGATCCATAAATAAAGGTATATGGATGCATTTTAATGTGTTTTGACCCGAGGGCGCCCCAGGGGTATAAATAACTAACGACCGCGAGCGTAGGTCCAACAAGCCAGATAAAGAAATTGAAAGAAAGTGTACTAAATTCGATGCCCCGAGTGGGAATCGAACCCAGCTGGGATGAGTAGCAACTTGCTATCAAGGGTCATTACAAATGCATCTATAATTCATCATAAACTAAGATTTAATAAACTAAGATCTTTAAAATTGAACCCTTCAAAGACTGTATCATGTCCCACGTACGTGGGTAGTTGGGTATGAGTTAGGAGGTTTTTTATACAAAGCCAGTATTCCTTGTCTCGTCTGAACAATTTTTTACTGTAGGAATCTGGTCCAACTATGGTGGGAGATGAATGGAGTGACCCAGAACTTATGCAATATCTTGACGCTGAATTAACGCAAGCCCTTGGCAATAACTTGTAAGTACTAATAGATTTCAAAATACTCTTGACAAGAGTCTTTGGTAACAAAATTTTTATTTGACTGTTCACCTCCATACGCTTCCAGTGAAACTGTTCACCTTAAAGGCAATATATTAATTAGTACACGTTGACCCTGTATAACTGTGACCTTGAAATGCCTTATCTTTGACAAATAACATCAACAATTTTAATCTTGGCCTTTTAGGGCACATCAAACCAAAGATTTGGGCAATTTATCTGATCAATCCAATTTAAATCTATACCAATTACAAGTTTCGATAGTGTAAATGGGGATCAACTGGAAACAAAGACAATTGTATATCAAGTAATTTTAATAAAAAATCAACCAAAGTAACTAAGTCTAGGTGTTGAAAAAAATAAAATCTAATATTTTAATAAAAACTACCATTTGTCTGAATTTATGCTCTCTTTTATCTATTTAGACCTCATCCCTTTGTATACTTTTTCAGAAATCAGTCTTTCGTTAAATGCTAGCCCTACGATGATCCCAATATTGATATTTTGATTTGATTTTTGTCTTGTTGTGTTTTCCAGCAAGGAATACCGCACTGCAGATTGTCCACGTTTGGTATTAGATAAGTTAGAAAGGAAGGGTTACACAGTTGTGTCAGTGACAGGAGTGGGACAGACTATCGTATGGACACTAAATAAACCATTATCCACAGATGGCTCAATTTCATGAAACATTTGATATAGATGAGATATACAACAATTTTAGATTTAGCTTATGATTGTTGTTTGAGAATTTTAAATAAAGATGGCACAGCAATAAATGTATTTTACATATCTTCTGTAGAAAGACAGAATATAATGCTGCCATCTTTATATTGGCTTAAAAACTATATATGTTCCATACAGTACTAAACCAGACTCACCAAACATGGTTACGGTATATCTTTGCACCATTTTTGCGAATAAAACAAATTAGTCTTGTGTCAAGACTCAGCTCAAACACTAAACAATGCAATATTTTCTCAACCTAGAGAAAGATTAATGGTGACACAATATTGTACATGCTGAAATAGCTAAAATACTTGATGAAAGACATTTTTGTTGTTGACTAGCTAGTGTAAAGTCCATTTCGATGTTTTATTTTCATCAAAAAACTGAAAACTTTATATTTTGATGTTTCTCTGCCATGTTATTTTTTGAAAAAATAACATGTCTGAGTCTTTAAATTACAAGAGGCCACGGGCTTATTGCCATGAAATAAATTAATCTGAAATATGCAGATGTCACTCCTGTATAATATGAATATGTTTTCCATATATTACAACACTTTGGTCTTTTAATTCCTTATTTTATATGTGTGAAAATAAAACATAGAAACGGACTGTAGTATGTTTGTGCAACGTCTAAAGTGTTGGCTCATTCAAGTACCTAAAGATGAGGGTATAAGCTCAAAATGTCTTCCATAAACTTGACAAAATGGGTGTAGAAAATCGAATGATTTTTGTAAGGGAATCCAAAAAATCTACAGGAGATATTTTGAAGAAGACGCAACACCATCAGTGTATACAATATATAGTATATATGTGTATAGTTTAACATGTGCACATTTTTTTGTATTTGAGCATATGTATTATCATAAGGGAATAGAAACACAATATTTATACTAGGCCTTGTATGAGCTTTTTAGCTGCGTAACATTGGTAATATTATAGTCTTTCGTCAATGTAACAAAAGCGAAGGACTAAATCAATATATGAACTATATATGGCTTCTTTAAAAATCCAAATTCCTAACTGAAGGTATATTCTTAAACTATTTTCTTTGAGCCAAACTATAATATGCAAATTGACCTATAATTAGGTTTACATCCAGGAAACAAAACATCAATACCAAACTCGAACTAAGCAATTCCCCAATTTGTTACTTTGTTACGTCAAGGCATGGGCTTTCAACTAGAAGGGTAGGCAACTTCCCATATTTTCTACATAAGCATTGCCTTTGGGTTTTCAAAATTGGAGAATGTACACATTCCAAGAAAATTTTATTTTGTCCTTTTTATGGATGATTTCAAGAAATAACTCAAAAATAAAAACATGATTATCTACATACATGTTGTTAACTTAATAAAAAATGGAAGTCATCATTATTATGACAATACAGATAGTCATATCATTTGGGTTACAATTATAGGCCATTGTGGTTTAAACTTTACATAGGGCCTTCAACTTTAAATATCTTAAACATCTGTTGGGTTTATATCCAGTACATGCGAGTATGGCGGCGGTTCTAAAAATGAGGCTTCTTGAAGGGGATGAAACCTGTTGTGCCTCATGACCTGGGGATTCTATGTTGGTCAGACCAGTGTCTTCATTTGATCTTTAAGAGGAATTTGTGGTTGCTCTTTCTGTTGGGTTTATATACAGTACATGCGAGTATGGCGGCGGTTCTAAAAATAAGGCTTCATAACGCGGAGGGGAGGTACCCTGTTGTGCCTCATGACCTGGGAATTCTATGTTGGTCAGACCAGTTTCTTCATTTGATCTTTCAGAGGAATTTATGGTTGCTCTTTCTGTTGGGTTTATATCCCGTACATGCGAGTATGGCGGCGGTTCTAAAAATGAGGCTTCATAACGCGGAGGGGAGGTACCCTGTTGTGCCTCATGACCTGGGGATTCTATGCTGGTCAGACCAGTGTCCTCATCAGAGGAATTTATGTTTGCTGGGTATATATCCAGTATATGCGAGTATGGCGTTCGTTCAAATAATGAGCCTCCATAACGCGGAGGGGAGGAAACCTGTTGTGCCTCATTAGTTGGGGATCCGATGCTGGTCAGACCAGTGTTCTCAGTTGACCTTACAGAGGGATTTATGGTTGCTCTTTCTGTTGGGTTTATATCCAGTACATGCGTGCATGGCATTAGATCAAATAATGAGACTCCATAACGCGGAGGGGAGGAAACCTGTTGTGTCTCAGGTGCTTCATCAGTTGTATTCTCCGAATTAGTCGATCGTGCTACATTAGACTGTTGATTCTGTAGTTTAATCTGTCCAAATCTTTTTAGCCAAACTAGAATACCTATTAAAACTGGAAACGATCCCATAGCGATGATGATAAGACCTCCACCATCAACAGAACGGTCTATTATTAGCCGTACCACTCCCCCTATAACGATTACTAATCCACTTATGATTATAAGAGTCATTGCTACACGGAAACAATTGGGATGTTCCCTGGCACGTGCCATTCTTGATTATTGTATTCTACTGCTGTAACAGTCTATGTAATCCACCCTGAACACCCAGACTCTGTATTCTTGCTTACGATATCAATCTTTTTGTGTTGGTATCTCAACAATCAGTAGGAACATGTAAAGCTGGAACTTCTGTAGATTTTGTGTTTTTCAAGCTGCTTTTAAAGTTACATTTCGCAATATTTACTCGCATGTTGGTAAATAGGAAGTGGTTAAAATTAGAAACATCATAAACAGAACATGAACATAACATAAACAGCATAAATAACATCAACCTTCAAAAATACAAAAAGAGTTGCTTGCTATATATTGTACTGGTTTTGTCTGTATTTTTATCGCACTTTGAAAAGTGCTATTGCCGTCGCCTTGTTCACATGGGCGTGCGGACGGGTGGACCGAGACGCACGAGCGGGCGCCAAATAAATCAAATATTCTTATCAAATGTCAAGAAAATATGTGTGATAGAGTAGACTAGTACCAAAATCTGATTAGGTCTAGGCAGAGCTGGGTAAATTACCGGGCGGCCGTTTTGAATTTTTCCACAAATCTTGTCATCAAAGGGGCCCCATCAAAGTTCCAGAAAAACACTAATCCCCAAATTTTTACAGATGCAAGAGCAGTACTTCCACATACGAACACCACAAACGGTGTGCAACGTACATTTTGTATTGTATTGTACATATTATTGTATTGTACAAATCATAAACGTCAGACATATAAAACAGTAATCCATCGAGCAAAATGCTCGTGGAGTTGAATAGGGCACGGCACGTGTCTCAGGCTCTGTTGCTGTTATGTTCTAATGGGAACGAATTTTACTCAAGTCCTATTCGCCAGTATACGCAAGTCGGGGCGTTTTGTTCATATGTAAGGAGGCCTTTACTAATAAAACTTTTTTCAAATGTTTTACGATATAGGCATTAAGAAAGAATATAGACAATCACAAAATGCTATGACGTGCACGGACCTGGGGACCATTTGGGAAATACGGGCTAATCTCAGCTTTTAGCTTTAATCTCTACCTTATATAAAAAGCTAACTATGTGTTTTATACATCATTTTGAAGAATTTTTTACAATGGAACATGTTCATTTATGACGTCACAATTGCTTAACGGCTACAGTTCAAATTATCTTATATGAACGCTTTTAAAATTTTCAAAATTGTGTAAGGTTTTGAAGGCGAATGGGACGAGCAATAAGTTTACCTTCATTTAACCTTCTAATTTAAGTCTGATTTGTGGCGAAATTTACAAAACAATAACCAGTTTGTTTATTTTGCAAATAATATTAAAATAAGAGCTGGTTTTCGAGACTTGAAAAAAATGTGACGCATCGATTTTTTACCACAAATTCCATTATCAATTTTTACCAACGTCCCAAGTGGATTTCTTGACCGTTTTTCAAAATTCAAAAACATTTTAGAAATAGTGTCCTCGAGATCTTGCGACCCTATACATTTTGTCATGATTAGATAAGGATAAAGTATTTTATTTTTAGGTTGACTAAACTTGACAAAACTGTGACGCTTGTCGTTTTTGACGTTGTAAGGCTGTTTGCGCCCTATGCTGCTCATTGTTTTCAGTCTGGAGGCCGACGTTATAAACCCATTGTTGTTACGCTAATTGTCCCCAGTTTCGTGCGACGTGTATCTATAATCTGAATCGGGAGCCAACATTGTTATGAAATTGTAATGAAATCGACTTGAAAAATTATTGTGGAAATTCGAAGAGAAATAACATTGTAATGCTTCCTATTGGATGTAAGATTTTAAAATGCCCCATAATCGGGATCCGAGATTGTAATAAAATTGTAATGAAATCGACTTTTTAAAAATAATCATGTGGAAATTTCGAAGAGAAATAACATTGTAATAGGCTACTTCCCATTGGATGTAAGGAAATTTTAAAATGCCCCATAATCGGGATCCGAGATTGTAATAAAATTGTAATGAAATCGACTTTTGCAATTGCAATCACTCACTTGTCCGTCTGTCTGTCCGTCCGTCCGTCCGTCCGTCTGTGTGTCAACAATTTGCCAGTTTTAAAACCTCTGTCAATAGGATTCCCGTTTTAAGTTATTTTTGTTCAACATCAATATAGAAAACCCCCTATGACTCCTAGTTCAAAAGCTAGCCTATTTTCAAAATGGCCGCCATTTATGTCTCGTTTTAAGTTATTTTTGTCCAACATCAATACAGAAAACTCTCTTATGACTCCTGGTTCAAAAGTTCGTTTTTTAATAAAAATGCTCTGATTTTTTAAAGTTTCTTGCTAATGGCAATAATTCTGAAAAATGGTCTTTCTTTCTAAATTCTAATGAATTTTGGTATTTCAAATTACTTTCCCATTTGATCACTTGATAACCCAGACATTATTTCAGACATGGAATTTGGATCTGGAAGTCAAACGCCTCTAACAATTACTCTCTATCCAAAACTGCCACTTTAACGCTAAAAATAAACTGAATTGTGCAATTTTACTGAAATTGATGAAATCACACAAGCTCGCCTATTTTCAAAATGGCCGCCATTTATGTCTCGTTTTAAGTTATTTTTGTTCAACATCAATACAGAAAACTCTCTTATGACTCCTGGTTCAAAAGCTCGCCTATTTTCAAAATGGTCGCATTTTTGTCTCGCGAATTTCACTTTTGGCCCATTTCCTAGCTTTATAAATAATTTCAGATGTCCTGCATTGTAAAAAGCCATGTCACTGTAAAGAGTAGTTGTATTAAATAATTTTGTCACAAAAAATCGGCAAAAAATTGTATTCGTTTTTTTATTTTCAGCCATTTTCCGTTTTAAGTTATTTTTGTTCAAAATCAATGGAGAAAACTCCTCTATGACTTCTGGTTCGAAAGCTCGCCTCTTTTCAAAATGGTCGCCATTTTTGTCTCGCAAAATTCACTTTTTCCCAACTTTACAAATAATTTCAGATGTCCTGCATTGTAAAGACCCATGTCACTGTAAAGAGTAGTTGTATGAAATAATTTTGTTACAAAAAATCAGCAAAAAGTTATATCCGTTTATTTATTTTCAGCCATTTAGTTAATATTGATTTGTCCATCTATCTCGCGAAATCCACTTTTGGACCATTTGCCTTAAAACCTCTGTCGATAGGATTCCCGTTTTAAGTTATTTTTGTTCAACATCAATACAGAAAACTCCCATATGACTCCTGGTTCAAAAGCTAGCTTATTTTCAAAATGGTCACCGTTACGAAATTCACGTGTGGCCCATTTCCTAGCTTTACAAATAATTTCAGGTGTACTGCATCGTACAAAAAGCCATGACACTGTAAAGAGTAGTTATATGAAGTAATTTTGTTACAAAAAATCGGCAAAAATTACATCCATTTCTCAGCCGTTTTAGCCATCATTCACTTTTGAATAACACCATGTGAGCCCAGTACCCATGGTACTATTTATCTTGATTTAAGATTGTTATGAAGTCGTAATGAAATCGACTTCAAAATGAACTGTAAGTACTCTTCTAATCATCTAGGCTTTGTGTAAATTAAAAAAGTTTGTACGGTTTATTTCATTACATTGAAAATCTCATTTTTCACTTCCACTAAATCGTTACACTGTTGGTGCAGTTATATGAAATACTGTGTTCAGATTGGCTGAAATCGGACAAACCTTGCCTAGCTATATGACTTACACTACTTATGTACATACGTTACGTAAAAATAATCGAAAACGGAGGGAGGGGAGTGAACGGAGTGGGGGATTAATCATAAAAGATTTTACTTGACTTTATTTCGCATAACTCTACATTTCCCCATTTTTTACTCCTCAGAGATGTAATATCCAATTTCTTACTGAGTCAGTGCATAGGCGTAGCCAGGCCCCCCGGGTGCGATCGCCAAGTAACCAATGAAAATAAAATCATGAGGAGAAAGGAGCTCATTAAGTGTCATTTGTCTTAATAACTTTTTAGCGAATCCTTTATTTCCTTAGGATTCAACGGATCCTTGTTACACCCACCGAAATGTTAGTTTTGATATATAAAACAGTAAAATACATCCACAGATCTTTCGGCCTTTTAATCACAGATTTAATTTCCGGGACATTTTGCTAAAATCCTCCATTGGCCGCCATTATAAACTTCGAAAAAACCCTAATTCTCATCATTTCATTCATATCATTCTTTAAGTGATCAAAAAAACTCCCATCGCTTAGGGTTCAACGGATTCTAAGAGATCAAAACTAGTGCAATATGTTGCCAACCCCCGTTTCAATATTTGCCGAATAATCTTTCGGCCTTCAAGGTTATTTTGTCAATATTTTGATTTTCGACCATTATTGACCAACTCGGATCTTAGATTCATTGTCCCGGTATTTATGACGCTATTTCCATTATTCTACGCCATGCTATTGATTGTGTTTGTAGTTCAAGGTGCATTTCCACGTTTGTCCAACCGACCTCGATAGCGATTCATAGAGCGTTTGCATAGTAGCTAAGTTGCCTTGAACCATATGTCAATATTTTACACAGCTCTGGTTGTCGAATTTTCTTGCAGAAATCGCCTATTTCCCCCTCCGTTTCTTGTATCCGATCACCGGGCGTGCATATGAACCCTCAGAATTTTATTGTTGGGGCTATTTCAAAGACAATGTGTGCACCAACAACCCTAAAAGCATCAGAGAAGCAAACAAGAGATTTAAAGGGAAATGCTGGGAGCCATTACACAAGATATCCGTGAGCGTGTCATACAACACCTGATGCGTTCATGTTTGCCTCTATAGACAAGCCGGTATTTTGAGCATGTTTTGTAAAATGGTCATCAAATCATGACCATTTGAAATAGATTAATCAAAAGACATTGCCAAACATGACCTAAAACTCATACCGCGCGGTGTGATGATGGTCCCCAGGGATTATGGTCCCCTTTCTTAACGGCCCTTACTGGCTCTGAGTGCGTATAAGATAATGAGGGAAAGAGTTGTATGTAGGTCACCATATAAATCAATGGAGAGAAGGACCATAATTTGATAGGACCTACCTTTTTTGGCTCACCCTGTACTTGTCACTGCAATAAAATGAATTCGAACACATCCCGGTCGTTTTTAAAGGCACAGGCTGTATTGTTCATTTGTACGGTTACGTATTTTTTATCATTTACTAGTGTATACTTTTATAATACCGATGGAAATTCTGGACACGTCACTGTTCCACAATTCAGACGAGATGGACGAGTGAGACTTATACCAACCAACGACGGAAAGATTCAGCATATTGATGCGTTTTTAAACCAAACTTTGTTAGATAAACTAACAAAGGGCTATTGGAAACCCGTACATGTAACTAATAAATTTAGGAGCGTTGTAATAAATACAATACGGCGATTGAGACGAGGAAAGAATATCAGTTATAGCACTGATACCAGATGTGGACATAACAATCTCGGCTACAGATCAGTGTGTGATCCAAAAGATAAAGAAGCTTGTTGCAAAGATAATAAGTGTCAAGATATCCCAATAAAAGAATGCACATGCCCAACTTGTTTTGATGAACGCTCTCGGATATATCCTGAATTTTACAAATGGACGCCACATAGGATTAACATGCGCAATAACATTTCAGGTGTGGACATATGCAATGGTCTACGACGTTTGAATGTGTCATCAATGATTACAATAGGCGATTCTTTGATAAGATCATTGACTGAAAGCTTTTGGAGACGAGTTTACAGAGGGCCCGTGACACATTTACTATATAATCACTCTTCTAAAGGTACGAGTAGAGCTGATTACTTGGCTTGAGGTGCAAATTACTTGGATTGGGGTAAAGGGAAAAATAAGGTAGGACCAATGTGGTATCCACAGCAAGTATTATCCTTGGGAATACAACGCGTCCGTTATAAACTGAGACTCTGATGAAACAGAATGAGGTAGGACTAGTATAATGAGTCACCAGTACCTGGCTAACTGAGGTAGGCCTCGTTCATCGAATGTGTAAACTGGCTAATTTAGGTAGAATGAGTAAACTGGCTAATCAAGTTAGACTGTGTAGAATGAGTAATCTGGCAATTTAAGATGAGTAAAATGAGTAAACTAATGATCAAGATAGGAAGAGTAGAATGAGTAAACTGGCTAATCAAGATAGGAAGAGTAGAATGAGTAAACTGGCTAATCAAGGTAGGAAGAGTAGAATGAGTAAACTGGCTAATCAAGATAGGAAGAGTAGAATGAGTAAACTGGCTAATCAAGGTAGGAAGAGTAGAATGAGTAAACTGGCTAATAGTGTAGAATGAGTAAACTGGCTAATCAAGGTAGAAAGAGTAGAATGAGTAAACTGGCTAATAGAGTAGAATGAGTAAACTGGCTAATCAAGATAGGAAGAGTAGAATGAGTAAACTGGCTAATCAAGGTAGGAAGAGTAGAATGAGTAAACTGGCTAATCAAGATAGGAAGAGTAGAATGAGTAAACTGGCTAATCAAGGTAGGAAGAGTAGAATGAGTAAACTGGCTAATAGTGTAGAATGAGTAAACTGGCTAATCAAGGTAGAAAGAGTAGAATGAGTAAACTGGCTAATAGAGTAGAATGAGTAAACTGGCTAATCAAGGTAGAAAGAGTAGAATGAGTAAACTGGCTATTCAAGGTAGGAAGAGTAGTATGAGTTAACTGGCTAATCAAGGTAGAAAGAGTAGAATGAGTAAACTGGCTAATAGAGTAGAATGAGTAATCTGGCTAATCAAGGTAGAAAGAGTAGAATGAGTAAACTGGCTATTCAAGGTAGGAAGAGTAGTATGAGTTAACTGGCTAATCAAGGTAGGAAGAGTAGAATGAGTAAACTGGCTAATCAAGGTAGGAAGAGTAGAATGAGTAAACTGGCTAATCAAGGTAGAAAGAGTAGAATGAATAAACTGGCTAATTGAGTTAGGAAGAGTAGAAGTAACATGAGTTATCTGGCTAATTGAGGCTCTAAGAGTAGAAGAGTAAACTGGCTAATCAAGGTTGAGAGAGTAGAATGAGTGATCTGGCTAATCAAGTTAGGTAGAGTAGAAGTAGAATGAGTAAATATACTAATTAAAGTTGGAAAAGTAGAATGAGAAAACTGTTATTGACAGGATAGTCTTGATAAATTTATTTAATGGCATTTAATTATGTAATGAAGACGAAATGAATACCAAAATTCAAAACAATTCCTTTTTTTAAATTTCCACGGCTAAAACAATCTTAGAATAATTAGATATCATTGAGTATTGTAAACAGCAAAAGCTAAAATTTCGTTTTATTTATATTTTATATTTTAGCTAAGAATTGTTTTTCTATCTTCATCATCAGAAAATGTGAACATGTGATAATAATCAGTTGGAGGGTCACATACCTTTTACCTGTTTTCACATACGAGTTTTTACCTGTTTTCTAATCTGATGATTATCCCACCGAACGAAGTTCGTTGGGGATATTCACCTTTCCCCAAAGTCAGCTCATGAATATTATAATTAGCAAATCTGAAAACTCTGACGTCAGAGTAGGGCAGATTTTCGCGGGAAAATCCTAACACATTAGAAGTCAATGGGAATCATGACGGAAACGGGTTAATTTTATTGTCAAATTATGTTGAGTAGTGATAATATTTATGATAAATGTAATGGAATTTAATTAATTATACTCCCGTCTATATCCCCCCTTCTTTATATTGTTCTGGGGAATCAAATGAATAGAGAAATATTGATGTGAAGAGTCCAATGTTTCCTGTACATTTTCAAATTACGCCGACTGTACAAAACCCCATGTTAGTTCTTGACTGTCAAAATGTTAACATCCCATGGTAATCTTAAGTTTGTGTAATATTTTCTCATGGGGAGTGAAGAAGGGGGTACGGCTTAACCTTGAAAAAAGTATTTGACTCTCATATCTGGGCCAAACCGTTACTTTCACTTGATCAGCTACTTATTATACCACCGTATGACAATGTTACTTTTATGTCTGCCGAAGAATTTGACAATGGTTACATGAGTGATGACTAATTTCATTGAATGTTCATGTATGCTTATTGAGACAATGTACCAGAGTTGCTTGTTTTACCGACAATCGTCTATTTGAAGAGATTTATCTCTTGAAAAGCCCATGGGCGTTCTTTTAAATATCGAACTTTTTAGAGAACTTTTAGGATATTTTTGGACGTAGACGTACAAGAGAGAAACTCCGGCAGTTTACCAATGGGGAGCTTTTTGACAGTTTTGGCAAAAAATCATGCAAAAAGTGCTCAGAATGGTAAAAAGCTGCATAATTTTGAAAGAGTATCTGACCAGACCTGCAAAAATACATGACCAATCCCAAATTATTTGGGCAACCCGATGAGAAAAATGCAAGTGGACCGGACATTTAAAACTGTTGTTCTTATATTTTTATTAGAAACATAATGAACTATTTAATTGAATAATCATGATAAATGTATATTCCTAATCCATACAGTCTTATTGTTTGAATGATTGTCAATCTTTGGTTTGCGTAATTGGATTCACTTTGTTAAAAGACTAGCACTCGTATCACAATTATTTCTATGGTTTGATTTACTGGATGGTGTATTTAAGACACAGCTTAAGGCAAAATAGTCAGAAAAATATATTTCACTTAGTTTTGTTATCATTTTATAATGAGATTTATTTCACTCATTGGGCGATCTAATAGTAATTGAAGTTTTGGCGCGAAATGTGCCCTGCTTTGACGTCATTGATTTTCATCGACCAATCAGCGCAGCGGTCAAATGAGTACACTTTGGACTTTGGGGAAAGGTGAATAGGAAAGCCGCTCACCCGTCCATCCGCCTGTTTGTCTGGGCGATAACTCAAATAGCGGTTGACGGATTTGATTCAAATTTTATGGGGTTTTGCCTTATGGGGCCGGGGTAGAACCTCTGCTCGAGAAGGAATTTTCAATATGGCCGCTTAATTCAAAATGGCCGTCATTTTTCGTAAAAGTAGAATCTTTGATAACTCAAACACTATAAAGTTGACGGATTTGGTTTAAATTTTATATGGTGATGTCTAGAGACAATGGAGCTATGCTGTTGAAGAGATTTTTAGAATGGCTGCTAAATATCAAAATGGCGGCCATTTTTCGTAATCTTTGATAACTCAAATACTAGTTGACGGATTTGGTTCGAGTTTTTATATGCTGATGCCTAGGGACATAGGAGCTATGCTGTAGAGGAGATTTTCAAAATGGCTGCTAAATATCAAAATGATGGCCATTTTTCGTAAAAACGTAAACTTTGATAACTCAAATACAAGTGAACGGATTCGGATCAAATTTTATATGATGATGCCTAGATACACAGTATCTCTGTTTGACAAAGAATTTTCAAGATTGTACCTGAATTAAAAGATGACCGCCATTTTTCGTAAAAAATCTAATCTTTGATAACTCGAATAGCAGTGAATGGATTTTGTTCAAATCGTATATGCTGATGCCTAGGGTCACAGTAGCTCTGTTCAATGAAGATTTTCAAAATGACGGCTGAATTTCAAAATTGCCATTTTTCGTAAAAAGGAATGTAATCTTTGATAACTCTAATTTACGCTAATTTACGGATATGGTTTACATTTTATATGTTGATGCCTGTAGGGGCAAGCAAGCTCTGCTCAAGAAGGAATTTTCAAGATGGCCACTAATAATTAAAATATGTTTTGTTCGGTGGGATTTGCAAATCCGTGGAGTTGCTGTTTTTCTAGTTACAACATTTATTTACAACTATATTTTGCTGAGATTTATCAAAAAAGTATTCTTAAATTATTGTTCAAATAGCCCCTTGAACTTGTTGATTAAATCCTCCATAACTTCAAAAAACTCGAAGCGATATGCTTTAAATACTTTAAATACAGGAGCCAGCTTACAGTAATATCACAATTTTTTTATTCATATTGTAACGTTTTTCTCAAGGCGCGGCTCTGTTCAGGAATTCGGGGAAAACGCGAGAGGAGGTGGTTCTCCCGCGTGGTATATAAATACTTAATTGCCGGATTATACGGAGCGGCGTTGACTCCGCTCGCATGCTCGCTACAGTTACCTGAGATGTTACTCTGTGGGAATGTACGGGGAAAAAGTATTACGCAATCTGGGGTTTGCACTGCAGTTCCCTTTGGAACTCATTACAATACAACAATGAACATTCAAGGACAAAATAAAATAAAGTTATATATTTAATTTATTTGCTCTTAACACCCCAGTCACATTTCCTACGGCGACCTTGCCGTCTATCATTTCTGCGGCCAGTAACATTTCTACGCTCGCCGTGGAATTTCTGCGCTCTCATACTTTTGCAGTCACATTTCCCACGGCAGCCGCACGGTGAATTTTAAATTTCTGTTGATAAATAATACTTTTTTCATTTTATTTACATCGGGACAATTTATAAATGTTATTTATAGTGCTAGGATGTAATATCAAATGAAAAGTGATCGTGAAACATTGACAAATAATGATTCAATCTTGTTGAGCCAGTTGATTTCTACGGTGACCTCAGAAATGAACCTCTATTATAACTCCGAGTTATAATTTCTACGCCTTCCCTGCGGCCTGTAAAAATCTGCATACGCCGTACGGAGGCCGCAAGGTGAGCGTAGTTTTTCTATGCTCGCCGCAGAAATTCACCGATTTAATTGATCTGCGGTCGACTTGCGGCCGCCGTGCGACAAATGTGACTGGGGTGTTATGAGCCAAAACAATTACAAACAATGCTTTAGAAACAAATAGAAAATTATGTACGAAGTCAAACCCACACTAACTGTAACACCCCAGTCACATTTCCTACGGCGACCTTGCGGTCTACGCTCGCCGCAGAATTTCTGCGCTCTCATACTTTTGCAGTCACATTTCCCACGGCAGCCGCACGGTGAATTTTAAATTTATATTGATAAATAATAGTTTTTTTCATTTTATTTACATCAGGACAATTTATAAATGTTATTCAAAGTGCTAGGATGTAATATCAAATGAAAAGTGATCGTGAAACATTGACAAATAATGATTCAATCTTGCTGAGCCAGTTGATTTCTACGGGGACCTCAGAAATGAACAAATATTATAACTCCGAGTTATAATTTCTACGCCTTCCCCGCGGCCTGTAAAAATCTGCATACGCCATACGGAGGCCGCAAGGCGAGCGTAGTTTTTCTACGCTCGCCGCAGAAATTCACCGATTTAATTCTCCCTTTCGCGGTTCGCTCTTTGAATCAGAACGTTCGCAAATATGTTCTGAAAAAGCACTCAAAAAGGACAAAATTTGATTGGTCAATAATTTTCCACTATGCAATTCGCGTAGCTATTTGCGTGACCCGAAAGTTCTAAATCAAACTAATTACGCAATTTTGTTTTTACACCCGCACGCTAAATAAAAAAAAATGACACCATCGGAAGTATTCTTCTTTGTCATTGCTTTAATAGTCAGTATACTGAGTTTAATCAATAAAAGATTGTACAATGAACAACAAAATTCGGAAACGAGTACTATAGATTTGCTTTCGGACCACTGAACGGATTGACCGAGATAATAGCGACGCGTCTTCTTTGGTCTACTGCTCAGTTGTTTGTGGGTTTTCAACGTAACTCTATAATGTAAATTGAAGATGAATACTTTTATTCAGTTGTTGCATCGATGTTGCAGTTTGTAGTGCGGTAAGATTGGCATGAAAGTACTGAAAGTCAAATGGAATTGTTTTTTCCAATATGGTGACTAGTCAACTGATCACGTGACCTTCTCTTCCGGAATATTTTCTCACTTTTCAATCGTCGTTTTCACCACGCTATGAATCAATACAATGAAAAAAATAGCTGTTATATTAAGATTAATAAGAGATCAATCGTTTCTAATAATTTCTTCTGTACTCTCGTACGGGAATATGAACGAATATATCGTTTGAAAAATAGGTGTGAAAATCCCCATGTTAAACCTATGAGGGAAAACAAGGAAGTATAAATTTGTTCCTCTGCGAATTGCATCATGGGAAATATTTTGACCTTATAAGGAAAGATTTTCGCGTCTCCTCTTTTGAAGAGGGAACAACGATTTCGAGAATTGTTCTGCGGTCGACTTGCGGCCGCCGTGCGACAAATGTGACTAGGGTGTAAACTAAACTACACAATTACTAATGTTTTAAGGCAGAAAGAAAATGTGATATTACTTGAATGTCTCTAAAGTCACTATATAAAAGTAAGATCAAAAGGTGATATCACTTGAATGTCTCTAAAGTGACTATATAAAATTAAGATCAAAAGGTAATATCACTTTAATGTCTCCAAAGTTACAATAAGAAAGTAAGATCAGTTCCAGCAAAAGATAAATAATTGATATCACTTGAATGTCTCTAAAGTGACTATATAAAAGTAAGATCAAAAGATGATATCACTTGAATGTCTCTAAAGTGACTATATAAAAGTAAGATCAAAAGGTGATATCACTTGAATGTCTCCAAAGTGTCTATATAAAAGTAAGATCAAAAGGTGATATCACTACTAGTATAAAAATAAGATCAGTTCCAGCAAAAGATAAAGGTTGACATCACTTGAATGTCTCTAAAGTCACTATATAAAAGTAATCATAAACTCATATTAAACAATCACCATATAACACTAGATGCAGAGAAAACTCGAAAACCAGATCCATAATTTTAAAGATAACTTTGTTTTCCTTGTCTAATTCAAACTGAGTAATAGGATCACTGGGATCCTCAGTCAATGACAACGGGTCTTCGTTCTAGAACTCACATTTTTAGTTGATCCTCTGCGCATTTCATTCTTTTCTGAAGTCCCCATATCTGTCCCTTACACCCCAGTCACATTTCCTACGGCGACCTTGCGGTCTATCATTTCTGCGGCCAGTAGCTTTTCTACGCTCGCCGCAGAATTTCTGCGCTCTCATACTTTTGCAGTCACATTTCCCACGGCAGCCGCACGGTGAATTTTAAATTTATATTGATAAATAATAGTTTTTTTCATTTTATTTACATCAGGACAATTTATAAATGTTATCCAAAGTGCTAGGATGTAATATCAAATGAAAAGTGATCGTGAAACATTGACAAATAATGATTCAATCTTGTTGAGCCAGTTGATTTCTACGGTGACCTCAGAAATGAACAAATATTATAACTCCGAGTTATAATTTCTACGCCTTCCCTGCGGCCTGTAAAAATCTGCATACGCCGTACGGAGGCCGCAAGGCGAGCGTAGTTTTTCTACGCTCGCCGCAGAAATTCACCGATTTAATTGTTCTGCGGTCGACTTGCGGCCGCCGTGCGACAAATGTGACTGGGTTGTTAGGATGTAATATAAAATGAAAACAGATCGTGAAACATTGACAAATAATGATTCAGTCTTGTTGAGCCAGGTGATTTCTACGGGGACCTCAGAAATGAATAAATATTATAACTCCTAGTTATAATTTCTACGCCTTCCCTGCGGCCTGTTAAAATCTGCATTTGCCGTACGGAGGCCGCAAGGCAAGCGTAGTTTTTCTACGCTCGCCGCTGAAATTCACCGATTTGATCGATCTGCGGTCGACTTGCGGCCGCCGTGCGACAAATGTGACTGGGGTGTTACTTCCGGAATTTGAAACACACTTCCGGAATTTGGAACACTAAACAATTAATTAATTTTGATCACAATATATTTCAAAATCTTTTTTACAGTGAATGTTCACAGAATCAACAATTAACAAAATTAAGACCCTAGAGATACGAGTAGAAAATAACTTGATTTACGTCATTAAATATTCAAAATTCAGTCAAAGTGATTTCATATTTAAAATCTACATGTAAAAGTACATCTACAAACATGGCTTTGAAAATTATTCATCAACTTTGAAAATTTAATTTTTTTGGGTAAAATGTGACTTCTAGTTCGAGATTCCCCATAGACCCCATGTTATAAAATCACAAAAAGTGAGATATCTTTTCTTGCATTGGACAGATAATATTTTCTTTTACTTGACATATTTTAATTTACATTACTATTAAATACATAAGAGTGATATGAAAACGGAATTATTAAAACTGATAATATTTAAGTTAAAATGAACTTTCTACTATACCCGCCATGCTATCTGATATCCGAATGAGCCACCTGGTGGTGAAAGTGGTAACTACCTACTCGCATCTGAGTTATTAAAATGACGTTTCTTTAAGCAATACAAGTATACAAAACATATACAGGATTTATCACAGGTTATTTCCTTTCATATTTTAGATCTTATCCGGAGTTGCCGCCCAAATGCAAGAAATTGGGGATTCCGAACTTGTTGGTTAAGGAGTTATGTACAGGGCTGCAATGGAATCAAGTTTTTCTATTACACAGTTAATGGTATAAAAAGTGAGTGATTATATATTACATTTATTCCATTGTTACTATGATATTGATAGAACATCGTGACATAATAAAAATAAAATATTTTGTATCAAGTGGAAAAGTGTCACCGTTTTTGGAATTTACACAAACGATCTGAGCGTTAAGGAGTTATGTACAGGGCTGCAATTGAAGCAAGTTTTTCTATTACAAGTTAATGGTATAAGAAGTGAGTGGTTCAATCAACACATTTATTTCATTTATACTATGATATTCATAGAGCATCAAGCCCAAAGTTAAAAGAAAGTATTTTTATCCAGTGGAAAGTATCACCGTTATTGGAATTTGATACACACAATCTGAACGCCCTTTAAACCATGCGATACGACATGCTAGAAAATCATATTACAAAAATTATTGGAGTCAAAAAAGCATAGTCCTATATCTCTGAGGCATCAGTATATTAAATTTGAGCCAAAATCTGTCAAATGATGTGAGTATACGTATCACAGATAACATATAAATATTCCTTCTTCCTATGCCTATAGGACAGCAACACAAAACATTTGAAATCTGATGACTGGTATTTGAGTTATCTGCATTTAGATTAAATTTTTGAGAACTTTTTACCTATCCACACAAGGAATCAGCCTCCAAAATGTTATCACAATCCGTCAACGGGTATTTGAGTTAACGCTCGGACAGGCGAAACGAACGATTTTTTCAGTTGTCCATTACATGGGTTACATTTTTGACCCATTGATGAGCTCTTGAAAAGGTACCGTTCTCATTCACTTACATTAATTTCAATTTTATTTTTTATTTCATCAAGATGTATCGAAAGAAGTGAGACCTTTGAAGGAGAAATTAAGAGCATTGAAGAAGGAACATCCGGGTCACATGCTTGTCATGGCGGATGTTGGACTCCACACTAATCTCAATACGCAGATGGTGTCACACTACTTGGAAGAACTGCTTGACGTTGCAAAAGACCTTGGCGATACACACATCATCTACATGACCCCGTATATTCCGGGACTGCATAAATCGCCAGCGCATGAAAAACAAACCAAGGAAAAGACGTTAAACTTTGCTACGTTTTTTCGAACATTTACAAAAAGTATGAATATATCTTTCCTTGATGCGAATGAGTTGGTAAAGAATCTCATCAGCTGGGACGGCACACATTATTCGAATGGACTGAATGCGGCAATGGTAGATGTTATATCGAGCTACATCATTAAAGACTTATGAGCACTCGACATGTACTCGGGAGGTTGTTGTGGGATCGGCTCCTATCAAGGTGGAGTGACATTTTCACACCAGTCCTTAGCGTATCCTATGTTTCAAATTATATTAATTGTTCAGAAAATAATTCACAATTTAAAATATATTTAAAGTTTATTTTCTCATATGTTATATTGTATTGTATTCTTTATTATCACGTGATAGTTCGTATGTAAAAACATTACATTTGTAATGCCCCCGACTTCATTTCTTTGAAGTATTAGTGCACGTGTCCAATCATTATCCCATCGAACGAAGTTCGGAGGGATATAGGGAACGCCTCCGTCCGTCCGTACGTACGTACGTCCGTCCGTCCGTCCGTACGTACGTCCGTCCGTCCGTACGTACGTCCGTCCGTCCGTCCGGGCAATAACTCAAATACCGTTGGCCCGATTTTATTCATATTTTGTATACATATACCCTATGGGGGTAGAAGTTCTGCTTGAAAGCCAATTTTCAAAATGGCCCCTCATTTCAAAATGGCGGCCATTTTAGTGCCGATTTTACAGTAATTTAGTTGCAATATGTAAAACTGTAATAGCAATATGTTTTAAATGTAAAATAAATTATATAGGACATTAATAAAGCTAGAAATGTAGATATTAAAAGATCACATGGCAGCCATCTAGAAAAATGGCGGCCTTTTCTCGTTATTTTACGATTTTTGCTGTAACTTGAAAAGTAGTGGAGCGATTTTGTTCATATTTGGTATGTGAATACTATAAGCATGGCACACTGTCTAATGACACTTTTGGTAGAAGGTGGCCATTTTGAAAAATGGCGGACATTTTGAAAAATTGCCGCTATTTTAACTTATTTTACTAAAACTCGAAAAGTAGTGGAGCGATTTTGTTCATATTTGGTATGTGAATACGTATGAGCATGGCACACTGTCTAATGACACTTTTGGTAGAGGGCGGTCATTTTTCAAAATGGCCGCCATTTTAACGTATTTTACTATAACTCGAAAAGTAGTGGAGCGATTTTGTTCATATTCGGTATGTGAATACTGTAAGCATGGCACACTGTCTAATGACACTTTTGGTAGAAGGCGGCCATTTTGAAAAATGGCGGACATTTTGAAAAATGGCTGCCATTTTAACTTATTTTACTATAACTCGAAAAGTAGTGGAGCGATTTTGTTCATATTTGGTACGTGAATACGTATAAGCATGGCACACTGTCTAATGACTCTTTTGGTGGAAGGCGGCCATATTTCAAAATGGCCGCCATTTTAACGTATTTTACTATAACTCGAAAAGTAGTGGAGCGATTTTGTTCATATTTGGTATGTGAATACTATAAGCATGGCACACTGTCTAATGAGACTTTTAGTAGGAGGCGGCCATTTTTCAAAATGGCCACCATTTTAACGTATTTTAATATAACTCGAAAAGTAGTAGAGCGATTTTGTTCATATTTGGTATGTGAATATTATAAGCATGGCACACTGTCTTATGACACTTTTGGTAGAAGGTGCCCCTTTTGAAAAATGTTCGATGGGATTCGCTACGCTTTGGCGTTGCCGTTGTTCTGGTTATAGTATAAAAGTGACTAAGTGCAGGTTAAAAATCTTAGCCAATAAGAATCAAGTTAGAGTTGATCGGTAAAATCCACCGACCAATGGTGTTAGTCTTGGTTGAACAGCAAATCTAACCTTGTATTCGCGAATGCAACTAACGCCTGTCAGCTACCGGATTAACGTACTATTAAATGACCAACTCATTTAAATATGAATAGAATAGTGGCATGTTCAGTCGTACTTTTCATATTTAAATGAGTTACCCATAAAATAGAAGGTCAATCCGGTAGCCGACAGGCGTTAATTGCATTCAAGCTTAGCTTGTATTCGCGAATGCAACTTTCGGCTGTCGGCTACGGGATCAATCTACTATTCTATGACCAACACATTTAAATATAAATGGGGTACTGGGAGGTACTATTCATATTCAAATGAGTTGCCTCTAAAATAGTAGGTTAATCCGGTAGCCGACAGCCGAAAGTTGCATTCGGGAATACAAGCTTATTTCTTAGAGATCATTCACGAATTCAACCTGCCGGCCATTGGCTAACGGCTTGATTAACTATCTTATGGCTAGCTCATTTAAATATAAAAATTATCTGCTACTATTCATATTTAAATGAGTTGGACATACGATATTAATCAAATCAAAGTGAACATGGACTGCTAGAAAGAACACCCCGTACTGCTTGGGCGGAAAATGAACTGTCTACTGCATGTTTATTTCATGACCATCAGGCTGATAGTCAAAATGTTACAGCACTTTAAAGAACATGCTTCAATGGCCACTATTGCAAGTCATCCAAAAAGGCCCTACTTGACTTCTACCTGTGGGGAATACGCCAAAGATAGAGTTTATGAGAATGACCTTCGAACAATTGCAGACTTCAAAAGTAAGATCATCCGAGTCATCCCGGCCATACCTACTGAGGAATGCATTCGGATCATTGACAACTGTGCAGGTTTCCCTATGACAGCGCGATGACGGCCATGCCTGAAGCATGTGTTGTTTTAAGTGCTGTAACGTTGTGACTATGAGAACTACAATATGCTGTGTTTTATTGAATGGACAAGCCAAAATCATTAGTATTTACAAAGTTATGTTGCAAAAGCTGGGTGGCATTTTTGTGTAAAATCCATGTGTGTCCATTTGACCCACTTGAGCTACATATCTGAAATTTCTTTAAGGTGCGTTCGCATTATGTGCCAAAGGACAAGTCTATATGGTAATAAACAAACAAGTTATGCAACGTATGGTGGGTGTCATTTGTTTTGTGTCACCCTGTATGTCAAATATCAGGGAGTAATATTCGAAAATGACATAGATATGAGGAAAATGCAGGGTTTCCGTTTTTTACCATGTACATTTTTATTTTGGAACACTTAGTTCTTTCATAAATTTTTTATAAAGCAAATTATAAAGACCCAATACATCTAGATCTAATCAATACCCTTAGATATATGCTGAAAACATATTTAAACAGGCAATGCGCCTATTTTTGAAGGAAAAGGACAAAATATTATTTAAGACATGTTACTCACACACTCAATCAAATATGCTAAAAACTTTAATTTGGATCAATACTGAAGTGAAAAAAAATTAAGTGTATGTTTTGAATAACTTTCGAATTAAAAGATGGCGTATGGTTAAAAATCCTATCAAAAATGAATGGATACTTAATGCAAACAACAATGCCATCTTTCAATGGCATTGCTAAAAACTTGAAATATATAAACATGATAGATCGAAAATATTTTTTCATGATCTAGTGTCAACTCTGATGTGATCTGTTTGAGCTGTTTTGGTGTCAAATGAAGGATCAGGTACTTATTAATCCATTGGAAATACTATGAAGATCAAATGTGAAACTTCATTTACGCATTTTGTTCCTTTAACTATTATCATGTCACGATATCGCGCCAGTTAAAAAATGGTATAAAAATGGTATATCTCTCTATAGAGATGTGTGATACTCTGGCGCTGTTTTGTTATTTGATTTCAAACAGAAGAGAGTGATATCTGCAAATTATATACCCATGGCATGGAGTAGGTAATTTTCTTTGGTATAAGGAAACATATGAGTTAAATTTGAAAATACTCGTGTGAGTTCTGTGAAGTTTTCTTAGTGTTTAGAAAAATACCACGATCCTCCATGTCGGAAAAATCTTTCGAAGATATTTAACAAGATATTATGGGTCCTTTGGGGGATTATATATTTAAGATACATTGGTAGGTCATTAACACACGTTGCTTACAATTTTGTTACCCCTTTTACGTTGTATCTTGATTCTGTTATCTGTTCAAGTTATCGAAATATCCACTGTGTGATCTTTGTAAACAAAGATAACTAAGCAAGTTAAGATAAAGTTTATTTTGTTCTGAGTGACTCCCATGTAGATGATACACAACTAAATATATACATCCAGTGTTAGTTTATTGAACGATGACTTATTTTCAAATTTTCTTATGCCTCTTTTATGCTTGTTTAATGTCAGGGTTACATGTTGTGGCAGGACAGCAAGGGTTGCGTTCATTACAAGGTGTTTTACTAGCTATAGACAACATTGTAACATTTTATGAAAACAATTACGAAAAAATGAATATTGATGGAATTTATGGATCGCGCTTCTTAGAAGGTAGGTCTCCTGCACGTAACAATTGTTGACTCCTCCTGAAGTTAACAGTCCCTTATATTTCAGTCTAAATAAGGATGGCGACGTCATGTGAATAGCGTGAATTATTCGCTCTTTGATCAATTCTTGGCATATGGGTATCCATAGTGTCAACCCTGTTAAAATTTATTTTTTTGTACAGTTATAGTAAATAAATAAAAATTTAAGGTAGGTCGAATCAGAGACACACAAGAGGTCGAACAGGATAAGCTACCTAGACGAATATTTCACAATAGTAATTCAGATTCTAAGTACTGAACGAAAAATGTTGGTCACAGGCCTAGGCCGGAGGTTCGATGGGGTTCGTGTGAACCTCTCTGACAAAAAAACAGAAACGAAACGAGAGTACTCTAGTTGTGCACGAAAGAGGACATTGTGAAGTCAACTATGACTTTTGGATTATCTCATTTTCTTTGCATACACTTACCATCTAATAAATAAATAACATTAACTTTAAATTTTTCCAGGTCAAATGGAACTACTTCTCCAAGACTTAGAAAAATTAACAATTGCTGCTTCCCGACATGAAGATTTAATAAAGCATATCTCACAACTACGTCTTAAGGCTGAAAAAATCTCTGGTAAGTAATATGTTTGCAATACGGTTTGTGCGCCCTTTTGTTCGGTTAGGGACAATATATGTAATGTTGCTCCTTAATAACCCTCATATCCTCATATAATGAAACTTGAATGTCACACAACAGACACGATCCTTCTTGTCTGAAGATATCAAAGCTTGAAAAGAAATTCCCACCTATTAAGTGGCATGACAAGTTCCGAAAAATCTCCCCACATATTTTTTAATTTTAGGCAAACAATATTTTGTGTAATGTTAAAATAGAGAAAAGCGAACATAGTGGACAAATTAGTTGATATATTTCATTAGATGATGCCCTTCCTCAGTTGCAGTCCAGCAATCCTGATTACTTCGACAAACTTGCTGGTTTGGTGAAATATGGATGGAGAGTTCATCATACAGACAGGGAGTTGGATAGTAACTATTTATGGAAGGAAAAGGGTAAGATTTACCAAAATCTCACCCTCATCAATGTTCTAGAATTTTATGTCGGATTGAAATCAATTATGTAAAGATGTGTTCGCTTTTCTTATGCGCTCTGTATATAATGCGTCGTTTGGTTGCTAGGTGAAGAAAACCCAAAGGTGTCTTTGTTTCATAATTTAGATTTAAGTTGTCGTCCAGGAATTCAATGTGAAATACAAAACTGACAATCGGAGCCTTTAATATTCAAAATTCACTTATTACAACTGTATAACCAGCCATTTTAATCTTTCAATCGAGCGCTTCCATTAAGTCTTGCTCTCAAATCAGTTCCTATTGAGTAGTACCGACAATCAAAAGAGACACTATTATTGTAACCTTCGCGCTTGACATTAAAATTGTCCGATTTCAGATATATTGAAAGTATGTTTCATATGCTTACTTTAATTTTTTAATGTTTTTATTTCAGTGGATCTGTTCGATGAAGCAACACAGAAGGCTGAGCGACGCATGCTGAAACAATCTGACGATTGCATGGCCGAGCTGCTACAAACAGGGGTCAAAAGGTCAGCACTCATCTAACATTTTAAAATAAATTAAAGGGGTCAAAAGGTCAGCACTCATCTAACATTTTAAAATAAATTAAAGGGGTCAAAAGGTCAGCACTCATCTAACATTTTAAAATAAATTAAAGGGGTCAAAAGGTCAGCACTCATCTAACATCTTAAAATAAATTAAAGGGGTCAAAAGGTCAGCACTCATCTAACATTTTAAAATAAATTAAATGGATATGGTATCCACAATAAGAAGCTGTAAATTCAATTGAAACTACTTCATTTATTTATAAGTCAGTGATATTGAGATATAACATAGTGGATCCTAATTACTTTTTGTATATGATCTCGAAATGACAATGATTTTCAATTCATAACTCATCATAATATATTGAGGTCTGTAAATGTGCAGAAAATTAAAGTTAATTTTAAATTGTTTTCAGTAAAATTCACCATGAAACAACAAATCATCACAAAGACAAAATAAACAGAATTTAGATTATTCGCTGTACCATAACAGACCAACACCCCCTTACATCACCAAAATATATAAAGGAAAATCATGTTGCGTTTTTTCAAGGTGTATTGTTAGTTTAGACTGCTGCAAGTTGATGACAAAACGAGGATACAGTGGATATGCACTCTCTCATCAGCTATTATATACAGTCCTAGCTGAGCAGGTATGGATAATTCATGATTTGATTCAGGGCAAACTTTATAAGAGTTGAACGCATATTCGTTCAGTTGAAAATCTGACTATATTGATTATATGCTTTTTGCAATTAAGCTAGATCAATATTAAAATTCTAAAATCTCGGGAAGGAATCGTTTTATTTGAATTCCAAAATTGATATATGTAATATTTTCAAAATATCATCATAAAGATGAAAAACGTGGCGGTCCGTTCTTGTAGATGAATTGTACACGTGAAGTAGATGCCATATATGAAGAACTGGGAACAGATATTACTAGTATACAGGTGGAAATGTGTACCAACAGCTATGCTCAAGTAGGGGAAATACTATCAAGAACTAACTATACTGTGCTGCCAAAGAACCAAGATTGGATCATGGAGATAGGTGCGTCTCTTGTTCCTGAATAAAGACTATAAAAATAGGCTACGGTGGAGGGCGGGTTGATGCTCAGTTTGAGATATGTTATCCTAATGATGATTCGCTATACTCATGCTTCTTCTACTTTGTTTTCTCACATTTTTTATCGTTCCCCTTTAGCCTTTCGAGATCAGTATGGATGCCCATACATGTAGCTTAATTCTATTTAACTCGATGTAATTTCAGAATTTGTATGCTTGAATTTGGGCTTCTATGAATATCTAGACATGGACCTACTGGAGCAAATGATTTCGTGGCAAAAGCCAAGTGGTTGCTACGGTCGAATGCCTCGTAATACCATTATGAATATCAACGACGATAACGATGCTTTACATGCAGATGGCGCTGATGATGATGATGATGTTGAAGATATGGATGAAACTATTGATGAATATGATTATGAAGATTCCAATGATGAAACAACTGTTACAAATTCACTGATGGATAGTGCATCTGATACTCATCACGAAAATGATGAGAATACACACAGAAATGATGAGATTGTTAATAGAAATAATGACAAGGATCCTGCATCTAATGTTTACTTGATAGAAGATTCTAAATTAGAGACAAGTAATAACACCAAGGTATCTAAAAGTCCTGAAACTAAAACAAGAACAGAAAATGACCTCTTTCATAAAAGACATAACAATTATGAAGAAATAACGACTGAACCAGATGAGAATAATATACATATAGAACTACGTCATGTACGAAAACTATTGAGTGAAATTGACTTGCACGATACTGATGGGTGCCTCGTCCATAAAACATCAGTAGCACTATGTGCATTGACAATGTACGCAAAATATTTTATCACAACATACATCAATAATTTCCAAAACTCACAAGATCCAGAGGAAGGAATATCTGAAATCGATTATACTGATTTATTTGGTGAACATCACAGAAACGCTAAACACAATGTTAAAATATTTTTTGACGACCTGGATAAAGAAACGGAAGAACCTTTTGTATTAGACATTGCTGTTACACATACAATGTGGACTTTGGAGTTTAAGGAATATGTAACATATGCATTGATATTTGTGATATGTGTTGGACTTGCGTATTTGGTAATTAAAATAATGATAAATTTAAAGCGCTCGTGTAAAAAGAGAGGATATATCCGACGATCTCGGATGATTTGATGACTAAAGAGTTGCAAAACTAATTCGTGTCATATATTCAACATATGTGTATAGATGTCTCAACCATGTCAACGGTCACCAACATGTAATGTTGTTTAGAGTCTAAAGCTAACACATGATCATGAAGTGTATGTGAAATAATTGTAATTCGGTCACTGAAAGTTTATGAAAAATCCCTAGGGGTCATAATATTACATATGACTTCTCCCAGTTCTTAAAACGTGTGGCTTAACCCCGCTAACGGGGAGACAAGGTACACGTTTCTACACTTGAACTTGTACTCGCAAGTGTAATATTATGACCCCCAGGGATTAGGGTCCTACTCTAAATTGTTTGTTCCGGTGACCCAATTACAAATATTTCCCAGAACTTTAGTTTATACCTGAGACTAACATAGACCATTTCTATTAAAGGGAAGAATTAGGACTAATCCCCAAAGGACTATAATTCTACACATTCACGAATAAGTCTCATAAAAACGTGTAGCGTAACATCCTTAATGAGAATAAAAACAAAAGTGAGAAGTTATTATGAACAATTTTTATTTAGTAAACAGTTTCATTAATGTGTACATACACTTGTTAACCATAATCAATCTATATTTATTTATCATTATCATCTTTATAAACAGGACGGAAGTGTCGAATAGCAAAAATATTATGTTCGAATTACTAACGTCATTATGAACAAATACAAATATGACGTAACCTTTTTTACGTATATTGTTGAAACGATTGCCATTTATTATCTACTGTTCAGTAATCTGTGTACACCAAGCCCAGCTTAATTCTAAATAATTAGTGAATCTTCATTGTAAAAACACACAATGTGCAAACCATTATGATCTAAATTAATGATTGTATCTATCCTAAGTTTTGAACTTAATATCTTATGAATCTTCATTCTAAAACAAAACATCATGACCTAAATAAATATTGTATCTAATTTAAGTTTTAATCAAATATATTGAATCTTCATTCTAAAACACAATGTGCAAACCATTATGATCTACATTAATGATTGTATCAATTCTAAGTTTTAATCTAAATATTTTATGAATCTTCATTCTAAAACACAATGTGCAAACCGTTATGATCTAAATTAATGATTGTATCTAACCTAAGTTCTAATCTAAATATATGAATCTTCATTCTAAAACACAATGTGCAAACCGTTATGATCTAAATTAATGATTGTATCTAACCTAAGTTCTAATCTAAATATATGAATCTTCATTCTAAAACACAATGTGCAAAACATCATGATCTAAATTAATAATTGTATCTTATACAAACTTATACTCGCCGTATCAGTTAAAATGTAATCGACCTTTGATTAACTTTTTAAGAGGCTTAGAATAACAATGATATACTTAAACATCGACTCTGAAGGTTATTAGATTATCAACCCAAATTGAAGAATTCTATTTGGATATCAAGCTTTAACATGGGTAAATTGCAAGTAAGTTTTCATTTTTATAATTAATCTTTGTATCTCATTGAAGTTTTGAAGTTTTAGGTAAACTTTGACAAAATGGATTAATTAATTTATACTTTGATGACAGTATTATTTCTTGTGGTTCTAACGTCGGTTAGGACAACGTACTTAGGATTAGCAGTAGCAGCAATACATAAAAAACATTTTTTAAATAATAAGCTGAAAGATAAAATTATTGTTTGATAAATAAAGATTAAGGATGGGGAAAGGAAAGGTAGGTTGCGAATTATTGTATTCAATGATGGAAATGGCCATTCACTTGTATGCATGTACTAATATATATGTATATACGTTGTTCGTGCAGTTGAATGAAGAAAACATAAAAAATAGACAAATTTAAAGAATACCTTTTCTGAATCTTAAAACTTCAAACAACATGGAAATGGTCTTTGGCATAATACCCACTACCAGTGTACATTCGCTGGTCATTGTTGCCTCTTTACGATTAAAATTGTTGGCTTTAATCATTTTAGTTTGCGAATATATGATAAGCTAAAATCATTTCAAAGCATTAACAATTTGGTATAATGTTATCAAAAAAATATTAAAAAGTACAAGCATTGATAATTTGATTGATTGATCTTTTATTCTAGGGCAGAACATTTCTCGGCAATTAAATAGCAAGTAAAATTGTCGTGATCGTTTATTGAGATACATGTACCTACATTCATTTTAACACACAGGGTAAATATATGTCATGGTGTTAATCAGTCTGATGACTCGCAATCGTGAATAAAAGTTTGATTTGAATTTGAGTTTGATTACTGGTTCAGTGAACAAAAAGTGGAGGACAGGTAAAAAACAGGCGGCCATATGACAAATATGAATAGGGGTTCCTAGGTTCATCTGAACTTAGATGATTGTAAATGACTGATACGATGTGCGTTGGATACTTGAATTGAGGTACTTGTAATGTCTTTGACACTTCTAAGGGTTTAGATAGTATGTTCTTTAACTTTTAACAGAGTTATCTGTATCGGTTATAACCAAATGTTTTTGACACACGTACCATTTTACGGGTATTTGTGGTATCTGCTGACCAAAATTGCCAGAACACATTGCCAGACGTTAATAATAAAATCATGCATTTGGCATTGTCAAATCTTATAATAATTATACCTAAACAAAATATTAAATTAAATCAAAATATGTTTCCCGGATATAGCTATTTTATTGTAACTTGATCTATTTATCTGGTTTTCGGTATTGGTAGAATCAGGTCCATTTCTGAAACGTGATTGAAATTAAGTTCTTGCCACATAGGATATACAAAGTACACTCAGCTGCTTTATGATCTAATGTGGTCTTATCTTTTAAACTCTGTTCGCAGTTACACTCATCGGGTCATCGTGATCATGCAATCTTTTTTCTTAAACGCAATGCTTCAATTATTGTGGACCTCGTTGAAATATTGTCACTGAAAGTCTGACATAGTCAAAGACTATGCACCATAGAAGTAAACATCTAAAGCATTTTTTGTAAAGGCCAAAGGCGCATTTTGTGTGCACAATGCACATGCATTTCACATAATCTATGAATTGATATTTTATCGATAGAATCACCAGAAATTGCTATTATTGTAGTAAAAATAGCAGTTCTCCATCTTTCTTTTTAAAATATAAACAAAGAATACGTTTGACACCAATGTAACGTCTGTTGATTATTTTATATTTTAGGGGGTAAAGGAGTACTTCGACGGTTATCCAAAACATGTCTTCTTTATCCTTGGGAATGAATTTTGTGAGAGGTTCTCATTCTATGGCATGAAAGGTAAATTTTTGCGTATATGAAACGGATGTTTTGCATGGACTTGAAGAAATGGACAATTCAGGAAACTCTGCCCGCCAAAATTGTAGACGACAATTCCATTGACTCAATGGGAGATTTCCATCCATTTCTTCGAGTCAAGTCCAAGGAGGATTGGCTCCCAGAGTGCAACATCGATATTCTGTCCCATATATGGGCATGTCGTGATACAAAATTTGAATTCAAACAGCCACCATTTTGTTCACTTCAGCATTTGAATCGTGAATTTTGGTCTTGTTTCCGAACGAAAAATTCCAAAACTCAGGAGAAATGATCGAGATATTGGTTCGAATCTTTTGGACTGTTTATTTTGAATTTATAGTTGGTTATAATTTCAGAAAATAACGACATTTCGACGATTTCATTGTTGGAAAATATCGAGTTTCGATCCTGGGAGCCAATCCTCCTTGAGTCAAGTCCATGTTTTTGCTGCTCATCCGATACGAGTGTACCTGTTTAAGCTTTTAAGAACCGCCACATGGGTTTAATGATATTGTTTACATTATCCAATCGTTTATACTCATGTATAAAGAATTGCATTAAGTGTTCTTATAATATTTTTAGCCATCTTGGTCATCTATATGACCAGAAGATTACTTATAGAAGACAGTCAAGCAACAGCCATCTACCATGCATTCAATATGCTGTGCTATTTTACACCCATATTTGGGGCAATACTTGCTGATGGATACCTTGGAAAGTTCAAGTAAGTATGACTTTATACAATTAAGTCAACGTCAGGGGCATAATGGGATCTAAACTTTAATGAGGCAAATTTGGGATGAAGGAGATACTTTTCGCTTCAACAGTTTTAACTGTAAAATGTCTTAAAATGTATTTCCCGGTGAGGTTATTGTTTCGCTTGCCTCATGCCTAGCCAAGTCTATCTGCTTTGTACGCATTTTCCCCTTTCTTGCATCAATAGCCGAAAACCATGTATTTTGATAGTTTTGCCGAACTGTTTTTGTGGAGGTGGAACGAAAGCAATCTCTCTTGGTCAAGACAAAAACAGAATATACAGGGTGATCAATAAATAAGGTAAAAGTATCTGGCATTTCTTCAACTTTTACCCAATCCTCATAAAATTTGCACAGAATAATGTTCAAACATTATTGAATTGATATATCAAGTTACAGATGAAAGTGATGTGATTGGTTGAAGTTATAGTTGCCATAGCAACAGAAAGCATGAAGACCCGGGGCAACTTTCAAAAGACTAAATTTTCAGTCGATTCACTTTTGATAATATATTTCAAATCACAATTGAAATGGCATATCATATTCTTATTTTATACCTCATAACCACTACTTAATGTCCTTTGTTTTTAACATAGGCCTATAGTTCTTGTCTTCTACTCCAGTCTTTGTCTTTGAACACCTTTTTAAACCCATTTTCCCATAGCCTGCAAATTTTCAAGATAGCTGACTTCAAGTCTTCCCATGAGAAACTTCCTCAACTCCCTCTTCAGCTCACCATGAAGGTAAAATCATAAGGGGACAAGTCAGGAGAGTATAGTACATGACCTAATAGTGGGAAACCCAGTGCTCCAATGGTTTGTACTGTGAGAATAGCATATCCCAGTGCAATGTGAAACGTTTTGCAGGCCTCTTAGTCTTAGCTTCTTCCTTTTTTCTCTCATCAAATCCCTTCTGTGGGTATTGTCTTTCATCACTGACCTGTGTCATAGACTATCTATGATCACATCAGTTTTCATTATATATTAATCTTTTCCGTGACATCAAACATCAAATTTGCAAGAAAATATGTAACAATGTAAACTTAGTATTAAAACAATTAATGATGGCACCCATGTTTATTTATTTTCAGTTTGAAAAAGATGTGCTTTTTATCATTTTTTGTTCAAATTGGACGCAATGAAATTGCCCCGGGTAACCACTACTCCAGTTGCCATAGTAACTATAATATTAACCAATCAGATGGCAGAAGTTATATATTTACATGTTTTAATTTAGAAATGTACAAGGTATATTCTGACCAAATTTCAGGATGTTTGGACCAATATTTACAAAATGCCAGATACTTTTACCTTATTTATTGATCACCCTGTATACGCACAATTGCAAAAGGGAAAGTCCCAAAAATGTTACAGAACTTAGCAAGAAAAAGAAAAGAAACCCATACCCCCTCCCCACCATCCTAGTTACATTATCGCAATTCAGGACCATAACACCAAGTGGCATTTCATTCATACTGAAGCCATTGAAGTACACGTTGAAGAAAAGATAGAGCAATTAGTCTCAAATGATGTGGGACCATCATGAGAAATCATGACCTTCTATTAGCTTCTCTCTATATATTGTTTCTAGTTGAAGGCAGAAAGATGTGATGAGTATCAGAATGATGTGGGATAGGCAAAAGTCAGTCTCGAAGTCAATAACAAATGTGTTCAACTTACACTCAGATTGTCAATACGTTACTGTCTTTGCTGGATAAATAAAGGTGCAAAGTAACATTTCATGAACAATACACACAATCACGCATGTGTACTATTTGTTTCAGGACCATTCTGTATATCTCCATACTGTATGCCATTGGCAACGTGGTTATGGCGATAACTGCCCTATGGACCAACATGTAAGTTCCTTGTAAAACTATAGCATCACTGTCAGCTGTGTGTGACACCATAACTCCCTCGTTGTGGAATGATTTGAAGTGCAATACAGAATATATTCTGCTTGGGAAATGTTGTATTTGCATGAAACGAAGTCGAATGCCAATACAGAATATCAAGAGCACAATCCTGTATTGCACCTCCCTGGTTAATATTTTGTATTCTATGTATTGCTAAAGAGATTGTCCCCTCCGTACCAATAGGTTCTGTATTGCTACGGAGATGATCAATGGCCTTCTTAGTATTTTGTTTTGTTTTCAGACCAGGTCCGATGATAGGGCTTGTATTGATTGGTATAGGAACAGGTGGAATCAAACCCTGTGTATCCGCATTTGGTGGAGATCAATTTAGATCTGATCAGGTATTACGCCATTTTAATCTACACAAGACGACATTTTGTGGCTGACAATGTATGTTACTGGACATAACATAATACAGAGGGTAGATCGGTCCACAACTTACCAAAAAGCAAATCTTTGTTCAGGAAATGTATGTGTGTGTGTGTGGTTCACGCAGTATGTTTACCAATTGTCAAATTGTTTCTGTATCGATTTGTCTTTCGTATTACAGGTCAATCAGCTGACACAATTCTTCTCAGTTTTTTATTTCTCCATCAATCTTGGAAGTCTCATATCCATGATACTTACTCCTATCCTCAGAGGTAAGTAATGTATTTCGCGAATATTTGCAGCATATCGACTCAAAAATTGGCAAGCGATTAAAACGTGTAACTAAACTCTTTATGATTGAATTTAGAGGAATTCTGATTACATATTTCCAGTAATCAATATCATGTAAAACATATATTTGGGGATTTAAACTTTAAACATTTATTTTAAGAGATTAAACATAGAAAAATAAAGTTGTTTAGTTTGAGGGACTATGGACGTCTAATGTTTAACTACGATATGTGCATTGTAGGTGATGTGAAGTGCTTTGGAGGTGACTGTTATCCATTGGCATTTGGTGTTCCAGCTGCATTGATGATAGTTGCTATTGGTGAGTTATTCATTGTGATTTAATGTTGGTAAGTTCTTCATTGTGATTTAATGTTGGTAAGTTCTTCATTGTGAGTTGATATTGGTAAGTTATTCATTGACAGTATTTAGTGACTGTTCTGTGGTTGTCATTTGCTATGTCCATATATCATAATGCGCTTGACGTCCCAGTGTCTATAGAGTATTTTGTGTGTTTTCAAAGCTACTTCATTTATTTTACCAAATTAATGTTTTCTCATTCCTTAGTACTTTTCTTTTTTGTCTTTACGCTTCTTAACTTGCAGTCCATTCATTTCAACACTAATGTTCTCTATGTATTTATGTATTTCGCTCTACTATGTATCTTTAATATAATATTATCTCTATCTGTGTATGATCGATATTTCTTTTATATCCATTCACTATAATACATCCTCTCAATATTCCTTTTCTTTTGCAATTATTAATTTTTGTGATGCATTTTCGTGTATGAGCACATTCTCTCTCGAACTCTATTTCCTCTATATGAACACGTGGTTCTTCTTTCAACTCATTATTTCTTTCAACTTATTCTGCTTCCTATAGTTCTGTTCGTTGTCGGCTACAGATGGTACACGAATATCCCTCCTAGTGGTAATGTCATGGTTGACATGATGGGAGCAGTAGGGGCAAGTATAGTCTATAAATTAGTAGCTCGTTTGTGACTTGTTAATCATCTAAAATAGTGTTTTAAAATGTTATGAAAATGTATGAATTTTGTAACACATGTTTATGTTCGTTTAAATCCAAATAATATTTTACTTCTTCGTTTTTAGTTGTAGTTAAAATATACTTTAAAGTTGTATTTTAGAGCCTCAAATGATAACTTTCTGTTGTATACAATACAAGAGTTTGCTATAATTATGAAAATGGTGTTTCTTGCACAGTGATGGTGATATCATCCAAACACTGCAAATGATTCCGTTTATCCTCATAAATTCACAATTTGTTATTTCAAGTCCGAGACAAAGGATAAAGAATTAAATGGATTTTGCTTTCAGAGAGCACTAAAGAACAAATGTGGAGGCAAATTTGACAAGAAGGACCATTGGTTAGATTATGCCGAAGATAAATATGATGTAACTTTTAATTGCATATTATTATTCATCGATTTCCAAATATTCCAAATATCATATCATTATATATCATTTCCAAATATTTCAAAATATATTTTTGTCTAACGAATATAAAATGGCAAAATGATGTATAAGATAGTTAAGGTACACGTACTTTTTAAGAGAACTTAATACGTGAACGTGAAATATTAGGACCCCGTCGATTATTGTCATCTTCTCAATTCTTGATGCTCTAGGGACCTTATTACAGCTATTTAACTTAACTTTTATACTCAATCGTGAAAGTAATTACGACGAAGCCGAGAACAAACCCCCTGAACACCATAATCTCACACGTTTACGTACAATTAAGTTCTCATAAAACGTGAAGGGTCCCCCTAATGTTGCGAAACATGTCATGAAACATATATGAATATTAATTGAATTAATTTAATTCTCTTAACCAGTCAATTTAGCCTGGACCTGGTAGGGACCAACATTATCAATGTAAGTGGTTACCTAGTTTGCATCATTCTCATTCAGTTTTGTTATCCGATTCAATTTTACTTTATTTTCTCTTTCAGCACACATTTCTAAACGACGTTAAAGCAGTGTTTAGAGTATTGCTTCTTTTCCTCCCCCTTCCTGTCTTCTGGGCACTGTTTGACCAACAAGGCTCAAGATGGACACTTCAGGCTGGGACTATGAATGGTGACTATGTGAGCTAATTCTAAGTATACTTTTCATATGTTTCGAAAAATGTATTTGTTATGTATGTATTTGTATTTGGGCACTGATGATCATGCCTATCACTACCTATACTTGATCAGGAATACTTATAAAATCATTGGTTTATTTATAAGGGACCTTAAGCTGGCATTGTTTTTGACAACGTAAACGGAAAGATGTAAGCTTTGTTATTGAATGCGCACGTAACACGTTACACGTTCACGTGTAGATTTATTGTGCAAGCGTGTGGTCTCTATTGACTGATCATAATAATACGAACCTCATTTTTATACTTGAGAATAATGAACATTGTCTCTTATATTTAAGCCAATAACACAGATACATTTACAGCATGATAACCCTATTATGAAATCGCTATATTTTAGTTTCTTTTATTTAGGGAGCATTCAAACTGAAACCTGATCAGATCCAAGCATTGAATCCAGTCCTTGTCATCCTTCTTATTCCTGTGTTTGAGAGCGTCATCTTCCCACTACTCACCAAGTGCAAGATTCCACATAGGTAAAGAAACTATGGAACCGTTTGATCGTAATTAAATCGCTGAACAGGCTTTAAAAAGTGTATTTCAACGTCGTTAAACTCAACAACGGCGTTCTTTACTATTAGGAATTATCTTGGCCCGTTATAGCCTGGGCCATTAGACATGTCAGATAAGAAACGAGGCCCAGGCTAGGTCTAATGTTGTTGGACTATAATAAGTGCAGTGATTCAAAATGGAACTTCCTGTTGCCAAACAAGGAAGTGTATCATAAGTAGCGATTTAATAGAAAATCAACAGTAAAAAATATCCGAACTTTTGTTATAAGAGAACAAAATGGAGATCCAAACACTGACATGCGTTGATATTATACCCAAATACTCCCGGTTGCCATTCTTATGTAGGGGAGTGTACACATATTCAGACAGTGTGATTCTGTAAATAGCTGATGGGATATGATATGATATGAAACACAACCAGACAATCTTAATATCGTATAAATGAATTATAGTAAATAAGAACAATGTAATACCCTATTATGGTCTAACAATGTACATTTAGGATATTAGTCCTTCATTCACATTTGATCTACGGCAAAATCGACAGAAATATGCAGCATAAAATATAGTGATAGCAGTACGATGAAGGTTTTTCTATATCGATTTTGTGAACCTACGGTCGCCGTATGACCGCCGTAGAGCCAATGTGACAGAGGCTTAAATATATATTGTATCAAACAGGCTTATGCTGTATTAAATAAATGTTCTTTTTGTCTCTCTCAGACCGTTGCAGAGGATGTCAATGGGGATGTTTTTGGCAGCTTTATCATTTACCATCACCGGATTTGTACAGCTTGGCATAGATGTAAGTAGGAAAATGTCCTGATTCAGCCGATCACATACTGCATCGCATACCAGTCTTTTTATACACACAATATAGGGAGGTTGAGCTGTGCGTGAATCTGTAATGTTGTGTGACTCGTTAATTTCTGTCTCATCTTCAATCTTCAAATGTTGCTTTTTCTAGGGACCAAATTACAATCTTGTTTCTTGTAGTTTATGCTCAATCAGAAAAATACGGGTACTACGAAGAGGACAAATCATTCCCAAAGAACCATAGTTTTACACGTTCGCGTTAAAGTTAAGTTCCCTTTAAAACGAGCTTCTGACTCATCCAAGTAACTACGTGTACTTTTATCAGATTATGGGAGGGTAGGCATTTGAATGGTCAACAGCAGCAGGGAAGATTCACGTTTTTAAACAAACGTGAGCGTGAACGTGTAGCTAGAAATATGGTCAACTCAGGACTATATGTAATTCTCCCCTTCTTAGTATGATTTTGCGAGATTGGGTGTAAAGGTACAAGGAATATGATGTCATATATCTGTACCAAAGGGTAAACATTAACCTGTTTTTAAGAAAACGGAGAAAGGAAGTATAGAAAATTAAAGTTGCAAAATAACTTAACCAATCCCAATTAAAACCAATAGGACTCTGGAGATGAAAGTAGAACCTATGTGTATTACGCTAAATGTGTGAAAAGAAAATAAACGAATCGATCGAACTTAAAAATTTTGTTACAATTAGAGCTCGTCTCATTTTGGCAATCTCTCCCTGTACACACAACTGTATACAGTAAAACCTCGACAGTTGTCTTTTGGCGCAACTCTGCAACTAGAAACGACATATCTGGCCAGCATACCGCAACCAGTGACTGCTTTTAATGAATGATTACATTTCATATATCAAGGGCTTACATTTCATATGTAGAGCTCATGACTTTAGTAAGAGCTTTAAAGAGTTTTAATTTACTTTTTAGAATGCCAAGCCCCAACCAATACCCGGAGGTAAAGCAGAAATGACGTTTGTTAATGCCCACTTTAACTGCAAAATGGAATTTAGAAGTCCAGTGTACAATGGAACACTTGATGTAGGCCAGGTAAGCTCTTACATGTATAATCTACTCATGTATGCCAATTTCAGTCATATTGACAAAATTTCACTTCTCTTTGTAAATATTTTCAAGTGAAGATACAACCAGTAGTACAGTATTCACTGGGGGATCTGTGGGGGTGTGGGGGGGGGGGGCAGCCTCCCTCTTGGGTGGGCCAAGAAAAAAAATTCCAAAAGAATTTGGGCCCAAAAAGCCTTTAAGCCCCAAAAAGAGGTCCTTTTTTATCATTACTGGGTTTTTTGATGCCTTATTTTTTAATTTTAGGCCAAATTTTGAAGAAAATGGGCCTCAAAATTTGAGCCCACTTTTTGGTTTTAGGGGCCTAAAAATCTTTTCCCATACCTGAAATTTGTCCCCCCCCCCACCCCCCCCTTGTTGGTTCCCGGTACGCCACTGGTAGTAGATATAATGTAAATTGTGCCACCCATTCCAAGTATTGTTTAAGTACTATTTAAAAACAAAACCATGGTCAGTAATTAAGCTGCTAAACAAGGAGTATTTATCCACCTCCATGACAATTAATTTTATTTTTATTTTTTGGCATTTATTTATTTCAATATTTAAATAATTCACGTTAAAGCAGATCATGCACAATAGAAGTCCCATTCGCAAGTAGCATTGTAGGTATCCCTCAATGTAAAATTTAAAGATCCAAAATATGGGATATAGTATATAATTTATTAATAATCATATAAAGCATTTTTTTATTCAGCAGTAATATTACATACAATAAAATTTTAATTACAATTAAAATTGTAACTGCAATTAAATTGGAGTGTCGTGTGCTATGTTACACTGCCTAATTAATTTCGCTAGTATATGATGTTGATGTCACTTTGATGTCTCTATTTCTAGAGTCATGCCATATCGAGCATTGAAAAGGCACAGTTCAACCATACAGTGAAGTACGGCTGCGAGGGACAAACAAAGAAAACAAAAGCGGTCCAATTGAAGGAAACAAGAGGGAACATATTCACAGTTGGTCAACATGGTCAAGACTTACAATCTGTAGTTGTAAGTAAAAGTACTGACAATAGTCAGATTCATGTTCCCAACAAGGAGTAGTTGACGTGTTGTCATAGCGACCATTTTGACACTGGCTTTCTTTGTTGGCGTCTGTGATAATTGTTACATCTTTCCAGTGGTTGACATTTTTCATGTAAATGTCTATAATAATTTGTTATTAGTGCTCTGTTATAGCTGCTCTTACACGAACTTATATCATGACATAATTTAAGCCATTGAATGTTCAGCTAATATGGTAAAAACATATGCATTACCTTTCGTACGACAATGATTTATTTCATTGATTAGATGAAGATATATATTTTGAGTTATGATGTGAACAATTGTGTCCAAGTTTTATTTTTTGTTACAGCATGTCCAGAGGCCCAAAGCCCAAGAAGGCAGAGGGAAGGCGGCAATAAGGTAGTTTTGGACGCTGATAATTAAAGTCTCCTCACAAATGCAATAACATCTCGCACCTACAACCTATATAACAATCGTTAATACTACAAACATTTTCCAACGACCTGCTCCTCCGTCATACAGACACAAACAACACATATGACCTAAGTGAAGTCAAACCTTATCAATAAGCGCTGTAGCAACGGAGTTCGGGGGGACGAGCGAACTCCCCCTGGCCAAAAATTCTTTCAAAATCATGCAGTTTTCACCATTCTGAACACTTTTCGAGTAATTTGTTACCCTTTGCATTCGTTCGACTTCTATAACTACTCTGCGTGCAGGGTAGTAATTTGTCAAATGTGAACCCCCCAAAAATTAAAAAAAATGAACCCCTTGGCAAAAGCTTGCTATGGGCCTGTTAATCAAAATTGATCCCATCGATGACTCGAAAGTATAACGCACAACCGGACGCACAACCTGTCTAGAACAACCTTTTTAGAAAACTGCAATTTTAACTCCTACCTCTATGTATACGGTGTCGTAATCGAAAATATAATTTATAAAGAATTCTAATTTGTGAGACATATCTAAGTTTCATTAAAATCATTTTCCATATTTACCGGATATGTATATCCATTTTATTTCCAGGGTAATCAACATGGTTCCAAACGATAAAAGAATAAGAATAAAGTTTACTATTGACACAGGTGCTACCGTTGAGGATATAATTAACAGCACATATCTTTCTGCATCAAAATATGTCCCAGGAGAACCGGGGAGGTTAGTAATATAACGTAGCTGAACACATACACAAATATAATATCTTAAAGACTGAGAGCGGGTATAAAAGGCAGATGGAACAGCCCACAAAAGCCAAATATGGCAGTTTAAAGGTCCAGTTCAAACAAAATGAGAAAATTTTCAAACTTTCTGCTATAACAAGATTGTTATGATGAGTTACAAGCTCTTTTTTGTTACAGTGGTTCATGAATCTATACTGACTATAAATTTCAAATCAAATTCTGAAAATGTTGTTTAGTTTTTGTGAAATAAGACAATTTCTTTTTGTAAATATGCTCATTAGCATAACTGACAGTTTAAATTTCAGCCAATGGGCATCTCTTATCCGTCTAGAAGTAAACAAACATAGCATAAGGCTGTATCTCACTTGTAGCAGACCATGTGTTTCTGTTTATGCTGGACATTTAAACTGACCACATTAGCACTGATTGGCTGAGCTGTGACAGCTTGATTAATAGCTTCACCCGGGTCCAGATCTCTGGGCCTTTAAAGATATATTATTTGAGTTGTCACCATCTTTAAACTGTTCAGATGCCGAATGTATGTTGAAATGGTTAGTGAAAGGACAAAATCGGTAATGGTTTTCATATTGGCTTTTCATGTAGGGTTATAATAGCTTCAAGAAATGACTCGGTCATTACGGCTAATAATAGCAATATAGGACGCTAATAACAAACACATGGACTAAATTGGTCATATATAGGCGCTAATAACAGAAATATGAAATAACCGGGCCATAGGGGCTTATAATATGTAGACTCAGCCATGGACGCTTTATGAAATGAATATGTCACGTAGGGCGTGAACCAGTAATGGTAACATGGCGTGACTGCCATTGGGTATAGTTATATAAAATGGCCTTGTCAAATGAAAGCTGATATTCATATGAATTGTTGTCTAAATATTGCAGATACACCATGAAAATACGAACTCAAGATACATCTGCAGACGAAGCGGTAAAAGGATCGTTTGAACCCAAAAATGGTGGTGTGTATTTATTAGTTCTTCAACCTGATACATCGGATCAAAACAAGGTTGGTTAAAGTTTCTGTACATGTTCATTTGACTATTTATATATACATTGTTCATTTGACTATTTTATGATACATTGTTCATTTGACTATTTTATATATACATTGTTCATTTAACTATTAATTTTAGATATACATTGTTCATTTGACTATTTTAGATTGTTCATTTGACTATTTTATGATACATTGTTCATTTGACTATTTTATATATACATTGTTCATTTGACTATTTTATATATACATTGTTAATTTGATAATTTTAGATATACATTGTTAATTTTACTATTTTAGATATACATTGTTCATTTGACTATTTTAGATATACAAATAATGATATTTCAAAATTATTTGTTGAATTTTGTATAGTGAGTTACCCTGTGTTTATGTGGTTGACACTGGTTCTCTCTGTTAAAGATAAGCAATGAAGGTTTGAAAAATGTATAAAAACAAATAAATATCGAACATACTAGTACAGTAGAACCTGTATATCTGAACACCTGACTAATCCGAACACCTTCCAATTTGAACACTTTTTTTCGGTCCCATTTTTTCCTCCCATTGACTCCCATGTTAAAAAAACCTTGATATCTGAACACCTCCTAATCTGAACAGTGAACAACCAGATTTCAAAAAGTGACCTGTCTAATCTGAACATTTATTTATCAGAAATCAATTGTCTGGACATTTCAATTAAAGCCACATATTGAGTCAATGTTATAGTTGTTATTTATCATATACAATGTAATCAAAGAACCAATTGTCCTAATTAACTTATTTAGTCTCAGTGACATCCCTAATTTGTGGAAAACAACAGGATGTTTTGGAAAGGTGTGAATACAGGAGCTAATTGGTTTATCATATTAGAAAAGAACTGAATGTTTTATGTTTGGATTAAGAGAAAGGTGTGAATAAAGAAGATAATTGATTTATCATTATTGGAAATTACCTGCATGTTTTTGATTTGGATTAAGAGAAAGGTGAGAATCTGGGAGATAATTGGTTTATCCTGATTGTAAATTAACTGGATGATTTTGATTTGGATTATGAACATGTCTTAACTGTTTTATATCCCATGGGTCTGTTATGATAGCAAAGATTCAATCAGTAAATGTTTTATAACCACAAAGACAACATAGACGCCATTTGCAGACAAGATTATATCACGAGAAAGAGAAAAAATTCAACTTCGTAATATCCTATCACTAAAATGTCTCCTAAAAAGGCATACATCTGACATCCTGAATGCCCTTGATATTTTGAAGGATTATACATCATCTCGAATGAACACTCATGAAAAATTATTTTTACTTGAAGAGGATATCTACTCAAATATTGCTAATGCTAAAAGTGCCAAGAAACAAACAACATTGAAGGACTTTTTTAAGCAAAAGCAAAGCAGTGAGATTTCGTACGTGACTATCATATACTTTTACAGTGTATTACAAAGTTTTTCCCCAAAATAAGAGTCATTTTTACTAAAATTATGAAATTGTTCAAAATATAAATAAAACATAGTATATAGGCTATAGGCCTATTGTAGAATTAACTCATCAACAACATGTATTGTTTTCTGACTTAGTATTAAGTGTTTTCAATATAGTGGACTGAACAATGAAAATCCCCCCCCCCCCCCGACCACAAAATCCTCGAAATTTGACTCCAAAACTCCAAAATGAATTTAGGCAAAAATCGGTAGAACATAGGACACCCTGTGGGTTCAGGTGTTATGGTCCAAGTGGGTGTGTGGGAAGCATAAGTTTGCCCATGCAGGCATATATTATCGTTGATAAATGTACATTTATATATATTTCAATTGTAGAAAATGTTTACATCTCATGTATTGGTTGAAGCCAACTCTGTTGCCATGATTTGGCAAATTCCTCAATATATCATCATGACTGTCGGAGAGATTCTGTTTTCCATCACGGGTCTTTCATTCGCCTATGAACAGGTAAAATAACAATGTGCCAATGTTTGTAAACTACATGTAGTTTTAGCTGCAAACCAGTGATATAGCAAAGTGCATTATAGCAAAGTGCATTATAGGTTTTTGCGCAAAATATCTCTCAGAAATGCAATCAAACAGTTTTGTACTATATCTAGTACTGGTGTATCATCAGATACTTAGTGTGTAATGTATTTTGCCTTGAAATAAACTGTAATGAAAGAATCATTTTGTTTTTTCTGAAATTAACAGTTAGATGTTTTTGTGCAATCAGTGATGAACATATAGAGCCTGAGTGTGGCGAATGGTTTGCAAGGTACATGAAGGTGGTGTCTTAGTGAGAGTTCTTATGCTCTTAGGACCGTATTGTATGTTTTGTAGTCACCCGCAAGTATGAAGTCGGTTCTGCAAGCTGCGTGGTTGTTGACGGTGGCTTTTGGGAATGCAATCGTACTCATTGTAGCAGCGGCTGGCTCAGGTGGTACGGGTAACCAGGTAAAAAGATATATACCCCCCCCATTTATATGTTTAGACACCGGAAGTTTCGTTTCGAACCTAACGGTAAAGCCTGTTTAATGTAAATCCAACCTTTTGGGATTGGGAAATAATAAAGGTTAAAAATACCATGGGGGAAAGCGTTTATTTGTTTGCATTTCCAGTATCTCTATGTAAACCCTTTCCAAGTTGGATTTTACTCCTCTAACATTAATACAAGGCTCTAAAACAAAAGCTAAAACTGGTTTATTGATTCTAGGCTCTAGAATTCTTCATATTCGCTATCGTCATGGCTGTTGATCTTGTTATATACATCATCCTGGGTATAAGGTTTAAGAGCTACAAAAGCCCGTTAGAAGATAACAAGGAAGACCTGAGTCAAGCCCCCAATGGAGTGTCGGCTACAGATGGTGATCTTCCTTATGAAATGGTTGATGTTGCTAACAAAGATAAGATACCAGGCCACGAAGGACTTGTTAATAGAGTTTTTGATAAGTCGTTAGAGAACTTTGATAGTAGGGAAGTGTGTAATTTGTAAATAACAATACTGTGTATATCAACCATAATATACCTTGTTTACCGTATGTGGGTATTTCAGGTTTATATATGTTATCTTTTAAAAGTTATACATGCTCTTACGGAATGCTCTGCAGTTGCAAATTACAGTACAAAAACCTTTAGAATCAATTAAACGCAAAAGTAAAAAGATGAATGCTATGAAATATTATGTTAAAGTCCATGAGATGTCGATGTCGTGATTTGTTTTACTGGATTAACGAATGACAGTATGGACTGCAAAGTGTAACAGACATATTGAAATTAAATACTTTGCTGGAACTCACTCTATAAAGGCGCACATAACACATCTGTGACACATACCTAACTCCGCGATCCAAATATCCTTAGCGCACACTTAATACAATTGATAAGTACTTTATCATACGAAACTACTCAATAATGTGGAATAATATTTTTGGTTAATAAACAAAATAAAAGTGTTAAATAAAATACGAAAGTTTATTACGTGATATGTTTACAATAATATTGCAGTTTTCATCGGTGTACACATTTTTAAAGGCGTAGAGTTGAAGAATATGAAGAGACTCCCCAAAAGTCCAATGTGCTGACTGGGGTGCAGAAGCTTAATAGTAGTGACTGCGATGTGCCTTGTATATATGTAGATGTCAATGCTACAATATGGATTTATACAATTTGTCTGTTGTGCCATGGATTTGAAAAAACGAATTTAAATCTCCCATTGCCTTAATGCTTCCATCCTTATTTATCTACCAGGGGAACTCTTTATTCAGTCAATTCACATCCAAAAATTTGGAAAAATCTGAAAAATGAAGGATGACTGAGATTGTTGAACGGAGATACGCATTTTCACATTCGATCAAAACAAAACTAAATATTCCTTTCCATTTCTTCATGTCCATGATTGCATATCAAATTGTTTATGTTACTTAAATGAAATACACATCGATGGTCAAACCTCACAGCAAGTTTTTTATCCAGTGTTATACGAAGAATATTCTTATTGAATCCTTAACAGAATACCACTTCTTCATATTTACTTTAAAGTAGATGTTCAGATTATTTATCAACATATTATCTCGCCCCTTCTCTCTCCATATATATAACATATACTCAGTGCAGGAGGTTGGTGCGTACATAATAAAGTTAGTACATATATATTATACATTATATAGCCATATAAAACTACTAAAAGTAAAAAATTTTCTAATCTAGGTCAAACCATATATTCAGTACTACCATCGCTATCTCCCACTCTATGGTCACTATCGGTATTATCTGGTTTTAGTTCCCCGCTTGATGCACTAAGTCTACCACTATCGTATCTAGAAACGCGCGCCTTTTTCTGTTGCGCGCGTGGGCGATAAGGTAGGTCTATATTTCTGACACGTGGAGGTAAAAAATGGCTGGGTATATTCGGGGAATATTCAGGATATTCCGGTGGGGATGTCTGAGTAGCGACGGGACTAGATGTGCGGGGGAGTGGGGAAGTAGATCGATCTCGTCTCCTGTTATTATCGTCTTCATCGTCTGGTTTTGAATCATTTTGGTTTGGTTCACTTCCGGCAGAATTCGTGCGCATGAATTTGAGAACTCCACTTTTGGGTATATTTGGGTGCCGTCTTCCACGTCCTCTTGGTAAACTGCTATCTGATGAAATGTTTGATGGACTCTTTGCATGTTTCTGAAAACCACAGTTCTGTTATTAATTTCGGAGGCAGTATAGATCTATATTACATAATATCAACTGAAATCTGAAAATAGGCAAAATGATAAATGTACAATACCATTGTTAGGGTACACTTGGCACTTTACATTAATTACTCTTGATTTTGTGTATGTTCAAAAAATGAATATGGTATACTGATCCAAAAAGAATATATCTAATATATGAAAGAATACTAGATCGAGGGCTGGTTTGTTAAATCTAAATAAACTGAGGATAGCTGTTTTCAAAGAAGAGCTAAGAATAGAAATAAAGTGATTGAATTAAAGTAAATAGACATCTAGATAGACGAAAGTAATACCAACTAAAACTACAGTACGATTAGATTAGACGAACACACACAGTTCATACTTTACTAGTTGAAGATTTGGCAATAGATAGTGTGGCACATCAGAAGCATGACCACATATTCAGAGCATGCCGTGAGACATTCTCGTACAAATGTGCGTACTGACCAACTCTATACCTGTCCTGTTGGCGAGTACTGTGGTGGTGACGAATCAGGGTCCGGTGTATGAGGAGTGGTGGGTTGATCGTAATGATGAGGATGTGTCATAGAATCATTGCTGGAGGACTGAATTAAAGGCGTCTTGCTGTTGTGCTTATCTCTGAATGTCGTCAGTGGCATATTTCCTTGGATTTGTCCATCAGAAGGGAGTGTGTCGCTCTCTGATTGCCTTGGAAATGGATTGCGACGGATTGGATCATGGGGCTGTGTCGGTGGGGGCTCAGATGGTCTGCCTGAATGTCTGTCTGATCGTCTAAGTCGCCTGTTGCTTCCTTGGTGCTGTACATTCACTAGTCTTACCGATTCATTACTTAGCACGTGATCACTCTTCGGCCCGATTACGTCATCAACTGATTGCGCATCAAGGTTTTTATCCTGAAGGTCTGCTTTAGAAAGATGGTGGACAACTCCAGCAGTTAAGCAATCACTGAGCACATTAACAATTGTTCTGAATCTGGTCCTAAAACATACAGGTGTCATGATGTCATATAAAATCTACAATATTAAATTCAACAGTTCAACTTTTCTATCGTACCTTTCAAAATGTAGCGATCATGGTTTATATCATAAATATCAAAATATTCATGACTTAAAGGTCATTAACTACTTACAGTGCCCAATCAACAGCAAGGAGAATGATAATGTCTTCCGTTGGTAAGCCAACGGCGTTGAATATAATGCCAAGCAGAAGATAGCTTGTGCCAGCGCTGGGCGCTCCGATCGACACAACTGTACACGTGATGCTGAAATATGCAAACAAAAGTCCCATGTACATGTCACATACATTAGCTGCCAGATTCATCTCAAAAATTTTGAATAATCTATTAACAGAAAGTAAAGCTTTTTATAAAGAATGGTCAATTATCTTGTTTACCTTAGAATGATTATTTGCACAACGCTGAGATATGTTCCCCTTAATTGGGCAATGAATATGGCTGCTTGGGCTTCATAGAGGGCAGAACCGTCCATATTGATGGCTGCCCCTATGGGCAATACTGTTCTTGACACACAGGGGTGGATTCGATTGTTTTTCTCCATATTTTGCAGAGCAACGGGCAAAGCTACATAGCTATAATGGAAAATGTAACATATCATGGGCGTAGCCAGGGGGGGTGCGATGGGTGCGATCGCACCCCCCCCCCCATAACCTTTGCAAATATGACCATTGGATAGAGGTAGGAAAGAGCTTTAAAATGCTTTTTATTTGAAGCTTCTAGCTCAATTTTGAAGGAAGTTGCATCAATTTTTGTAAAATTCAAAAGAAATCTTAATTTTTTGTGTTGCTTATGGCAAAATCGCACCCCCCCCTGACCGAAAACTGAAAAATTTTCGGCGATCGCACCCCCCCTGACTGAAAGCTGGCTACGCCCCTGCATATTCATTTTGATATTAGCCTTTATCTCCAAAACACCAGTTTACCTAAAACAATGTGCGGTGGTTTGCCTTGTGCTTATCACAAAATAGAACCAAGCGGTTTTTATTTCACAATTACATCATTACACGACATCGCTTACATGTAAAGTCTGACTTCAATTCTGATCAAATGGTCGTTTTACATATAGTTCTACAATCCCCTTCAAAAGCTTGGCAATCGGGAATTTTTATCGGATATCGTAGCACTCTTTACATCGTCAAGCATAAATGGTTATTTACATGTGTAAATTGTTTTTAATAAGTATAATTGTTTTTTATAAGTAATCTCTGAGACTATAACTGAACATAAGATATCTTATGAAAGTCAAAACTTATGGAGGGGAGTGTACAGTACATACCTACTGCCTGTCCCAAATGCTACAAGTAGCGCTTGGACAATACCGCGGATGAATTTGAACGGATTGCGTCTGGTGATAGCCATGTAAAGAACAGGAAGTACAATGACGCCATGTGCAAATAATCCGACGAGGACCGTTACAAGGAACATGCCCAGCGATTCAACTTGGTCCATTGGGTCAGACATCTTCACAATCTCTACAGCTATGATAAAGATAAGTCCTATCGGGATTACCCTGATTAAAAGGAAATAACAAAAGCTAAGTCAATTTATGAAGATACTGTACTGGCAAGCAATATTTTAATTATACATCGCCAATAGATGACACTGTCTGTTGTAGGCAGATGATAATGCGGTTCTCTAAGATTAATACTCAAAATAGTATATTCCAGCTCCTATTAAACTTCCACGAATAAGAATCTTATTTGTCTCCTATATTAACTATTGTGATTCCCGCTGTGATGTGAAATATATTGAAGAGTGGGAGGGGGGACATCGTACGTAGGAGCTTTAACACAAAACTTGGAAAATCTATCAAGAGAGCTTTATCTCTTCTGGCCTGATGTAAAGTTTGGATACACGATAAGCTCCCAACAACTACTATGTTTAAGTCATGCCTATACCCAAGTATATAACATTAATTTAATCAAACAACACTGACTTATCTAATCTCAAAGTGAAACCTAATTAACACTTTAACACTTGATTAATTGATGATGCAAATCTGGACTTACCATATAAACGCTTTAACAAGCTCCATAATTGCTTCGGTAAATGAATGGAAGAATTTCAAGAGTGGTTTTGCGCGCCGGTGTCCCATATTGCCGAGGACGATGCCAAATAGGATAGAGAAGCAAGCTAGACCCAATATATTGGTTCCGTCTTTGGTTGTGAGCACCAGGTTTTCAATCGAGTCATCACTGGTTGCATTTGTAGTTATGTTGTCGTTTTTCACCAGTGCTTTTGTCGATGATTGAGTGTGAGCCTTGAAGAACATGAAATACAACTTAAAGGCAGAATCAGATCTATAGGCGTGACAAAATTACAAGCAACATGTACTTTGACCTACTAATTTCCTTACAATCTCAAATACAAAATCTCCTAATTATAAAAGATCTTCGATATATTATAAATTGGTGAAGTTATTATGGATCAAAAGTGCAAGAATGGGTGAAAAACAAATAAATAATACATTATTGTAAAAATCTATAGTTTTCCTGAAATAAAGTGGGTATAGATTTTTAGAAAATAGACATGAAAAGGATTGACACAAGCCAGAAATATTCTAAAATTGAAACAATTTTTTGGGCTGCTCGCTATATCTGATTCTCTCTTTAAGATTTTCATATTAGAACAAAAGGATAAAGAGCTGGTGATGAATATTCGTAGAAAATGAACTGGAAGTGAACTTGATATTAATTATTGTTCTGATCAAATACATCGATACGACGTCAGATACTGTACATCGCGGCATTTTACTGCATTTTTAATGCGTACTTACTTTTAAAACCGCAATATCTCGACAGCAAAATCATATTTTTCTACAATTTTTCGTCATCAGTTGAACACGTATGTCCATGAAATATTTTGCCTATCAGAATTCCAAATAACTGATTTGGGACTTTTTAAATGAGAATCACGCAAGCCGTATTATGCGACTTTCTATGCTAAAACCGGGTGTCGACTGTAACATTTTGAAGAAAAGTGATTTTAATTTTAAACGAAAAATGAAGATAACTTTTTCATTTCCCAACGGATCTTTCTCAAATTTTCACAATATTTAAATTCACCATTTTGGAAAAGACAAACAGATTCTGTGTGATGACGTCATAATATAACAATGCTAACTTAACGCTTATATTTATGCAAAAAAGTGTCGACAGGCAGAATTTCGTACCAACAAGATATATATTTTGATCAATTAAACATTAAATCGTTTGAAAGGTGAATTATTCTTTTTTGATTCCTGAAAGGCATATCATATTCTATATTTTTATCAAAAAACTATATCATTTCGATTAAAATTCAGTCTTTAAGAAGTATAAATTGAAAGAAATATGAAGTGAAGCCATGTGAAAAATTCACAAAATTACGTTTCATTTTTTGAGTTCAAATATTTCTAATTAAGGGATAAACATTCAAAACTTTCCAATGTTTCAGCATGTTCTTTTAAATATACTCCTTACTACATACAATTAATTTCATTTAATTTGAACTAGTATATATTGAGATAGACATCGTTTTATCACCGCAACCCCAAGTGAAGCCTTTACAAAATAAGACGTTACGCCGTTAGCGCATTATATGTTCTCCTTTATTATTCATTGCTTTAAATAAATAAAACTAAATATTCGAGTTAAAATAAATCACAAATAATGCATTTAACAATCCTTAATATCTTCCCGTCTGTGTTCATCAGTTGAATATGACAAGGGGCATTGTGAAAGAGTCTAGAAAGACGGTGCGACAACGAGAGCGCAGGGCCGAAAAGCGCGACAAAGAAGAAAACGGGTAGGGTTTGAAATGTCTACTTTCTGGTGATTCTAATTCTGTATATCGTGACACAACCTTTTTGAATATAGAATTGTATTGAAGCGCACATTAATCTGAACAAAACTTGAAGTTTTTAAGAAGATTTCACGAATATTAAAACGTTTGCAATTACTTGGAGGAGCATTGCGCATATTTATCGCGTAAATCTTTGCATTTTGTCGGTAAAATGAACAATTACACTGTTACGCCGTGATGTACAGTATCTGACGTCGTATCATCATGCTTTTAGTCGACTTAGTATTTTTTGTATATTTACAACTTGATGTGTGACTTATCCTGTAGATTGTTCAGTTGGTATAGATTTTAAATGTTATAGACAATTTGACGATATTTTATGAACTGAACTTAGATGTCGTCCATGCAGGTAATGCGCTATACTTTGGACTTGAAGCCTCACTCAGTTGTTGGTGGTTTAATGCATACGATTCTTGTATCAATTCAAATCGAGCACTTTTGCACGTATGTATATCATTCATCAATTTTACAAATACTTTTTCAAAATTATACGCGAATATTCAGGTGAGCACACAAGATTTGAGTCATCCCAGGAGTGTGAATTTGATTAAACCTGATAAAGCATTTTTAACTCATTACATTAGAAAAGCTCGATACAACACAAACCCCTTTAACATGATAAACCATGGAATTCAATATAACATGTTAATTCTTACCATTCTAAATGTGCTTGTCACAAGATTGTCGGGCAGGAGATCTCTGGAAGTAAATAGAACAAATCAAAATAAAACGATAGCAAACAAGTTACGCATATTTACGTCCTTGTCAAAATCCTCTGGGCCCCCTTCTCCGCTTTAGATAAAAACATATCTCCTTGACACACCGAACCAGAATGTGGTAAAATATATATCATGGGAACTTAAACGGACTTGCAAGAATGGACCCATCGATTCTTATATTTAATTCTACTGAAACAGATCAGTGATCAGACTCAAGACTGGGAGAGGAACATTTGCATTTAATCGGTTTATACATAGCTCCTTACGTCGAATTCAATTCGAACGTATTGAGCATAAATTGCATGAAAAATATAAAGCGCCCTTCGTTCAAGTATTTTGCAATTGGCCTCGAATGGATTGACTTTTTTCCAAACCACACGTTTTATTTATGATTGAGCTAATAGGAAGGTAAAGCTACACGTTTTAAGATAACTTGGACGTGAACGTGAAATATTATAACCCCAGGAATTACTATCTAACCCACAATTGCCTTTCCAAAATTACATCTACATGTATCCTGGGATGACTCAAATCTTGTGTGCTCACCTGAATATTCGCGTATAATTTTGAAAAAGTATTTGTAAAATTGATGAATGATATACATACGTGCAAAAGTGCTCGATTTGAATTGATACAAGAATCGTATGCATTAAACCACCAACAACTGAGTGAGGCTTCAAGTCCAAAGTATAGCGCATTACCTGCATGGACGACATCTAAGTTCAGTTCATAAAATATCGTCAAATTGTCTATAACATTTAAAATCTATACCAACTGAACAATCTACAGGATAAGTCACACATCAAGTTGTAAATATACAAAAAATACTAAGTCGACTAAAAGCATGATGATACGACGTCAGATACTGTACATCACGGCGTAACAGTGTAATTGTTCATTTTACCGACAAAATGCAAAGATTTACGCGATAAATATGCGCAATGCTCCTCCAAGTAATTGCAAACGTTTTAATATTCGTGAAATCTTCTTAAAAACTTCAAGTTTTGTTCAGATTAATGTGCGCTTCAATACAATTCTATATTCAAAAAGGTTGTGTCACGATATACAGAATTAGAATCACCAGAAAGTAGACATTTCAAACCCTACCCGTTTTCTTCTTTGTCGCGCTTTTCGGCCCTGCGCTCTCGTTGTCGCACCGTCTTTCTAGACTCTTTCACAATGCCCCTTGTCATATTCAACTGATGAACACAGACGGGAAGATATTAAGGATTGTTAAATGCATTATTTGTGATTTATTTTAACTCGAATATTTAGTTTTATTTATTTAAAGCAATGAATAATAAAGGAGAACATATAATGCGCTAACGGCGTAACGTCTTATTTTGTAAAGGCTTCACTTGGGGTTGCGGTGATAAAACGATGTCTATCTCAATATATACTAGTTCAAATTAAATGAAATTAATTGTATGTAGTAAGGAGTATATTTAAAAGAACATGCTGAAACATTGGAAAGTTTTGAATGTTTATCCCTTAATTAGAAATATTTGAACTCAAAAAATGAAACGTAATTTTGTGAATTTTTCACATGGCTTCACTTCATATTTCTTTCAATTTATACTTCTTAAAGACTGAATTTTAATCGAAATGATATAGTTTTTTGATAAAAATATAGAATATGATATGCCTTTCAGGAATCAAAAAAGAATAATTCACCTTTCAAACGATTTAATGTTTAATTGATCAAAATATATATCTTGTTGGTACGAAATTCTGCCTGTCGACACTTTTTTGCATAAATATAAGCGTTAAGTTAGCATTGTTATATTATGACGTCATCACACAGAATCTGTTTGTCTTTTCCAAAATGGTGAATTTAAATATTGTGAAAATTTGAGAAAGATCCGTTGGGAAATGAAAAAGTTATCTTCATTTTTCGTTTAAAATTAAAATCACTTTTCTTCAAAATGTTACAGTCGACACCCGGTTTTAGCATAGAAAGTCGCATAATACGGCTTGCGTGATTCTCATTTAAAAAGTCCCAAATCAGTTATTTGGAATTCTGATAGGCAAAATATTTCATGGACATACGTGTTCAACTGATGACGAAAAATTGTAGAAAAATATGATTTTGCTGTCGAGATATTGCGGTTTTAAAAGTAAGTACGCATTAAAAATGCAGTAAAATGCCGCGATGTACAGTATCTGACGTCGTATCGATGTATTTGATCAGAACAATAATTAATATCAAGTTCACTTCCAGTTCATTTTCTACGAATATTCATCACCAGCTCTTTATCCTTTTGTTGTAACTTTGGATAAACTTTAAAATGATATATGACACATACTATGGAGACATTAATTGGTATCTGTCTGCCTAGGGAATAGGGTCCCATACTTTTGGGACACCCTGTAGATGATGATATTGGAGTTTCAACTTGGCCTCTCGGTCTCAGCCCTCGAAAAAAATGTAATGCGGTTACAAGGCTCTTCCCTATAATAATATCCCACCTGTCCATGCATAAAATATCGTTTAAAAATGAGTTTGCCAAGCGAAAATTAAAATTCTCCAATATCATCCTCAGTAATAATCCAGGAGATTTGGATTATGGACAAAACAGTTGGTTATGAAAACATCCCTTAGTCGGTACTACTAAAATTATAACTGCAGACATTGACATTAACATTAACATTGACATTAACCGCATTACATTTTTTTCGAGGGCTGAGACCGAGAGGCCAAGTTGAAACTCCAATATCATCATCTACAGGGTGTCCCAAAAGTATGGGACCCTATTCCCTAGGCAGACAGATACCAATTAATGTCTCCATAGTATGTGTCATATATCATTTTAAAGTTTATCCAAAGTTACATCGATTTGTCAAGTATCATCGATGGTTCAACTCACAAATCGAAAAATGTTACAGGCATTTCAAAATTTAGTGTTTGGCCGAAATTAAAGTTCAGATTTGCAACAAATTAATAGTCGGTGTACACGGGTTCTCCCTTGGCCATGTTGACATCAGCAATTATTTCGGATATGCCCGTAAAGGCACTTAAAATATAGGGGTTTGGCATTTTGTGATATTTACAATTAAAGCATTTTAGAAGAGATTCCTTGGAGTAGTTGCCCCCGTCCACCCTATCCTTGACGAACTGTTTCCGGGATGATAAACTGAACTTATATTTTGGCCAAAAACACTTAGTTTTGGAATGCCTGTTACTTTTAAAGATTTGTGAGTTGAACCATGATACTTGGCAAATCAATGTAACTGTGGATAAGCGTTAAGATGATATATGACACATCGTCACATACTATGGAAAAATTGGTATATGTCTGCCTAGGGTAGGGGTGGTCCCATACTTTGGGACACCCTGTATATCAATCAAAACGTGATGAATTAGGGGAGAAAATAGTTCACTCTAAACACTCTCGGAGACCAGAGTACAACCAATATCAACAAGCTGCTAATATTTAAAGATTTGATTTGCGATTTAGATTTAAATGGAAACTAAGAACTATATTCTACAGTTTGGAACAAAAATAATGACACATGGATTTGCTGAAGTGAGGATTTCCCATGTTAAAAATAAGAGAATTTTCAAGAGGTCATACATCAGTGGATAACAGTATACAAAATGTAAAATATACAAATTTTAAGGGATATGTATCTAGACAATATTTGAGACTATAGGGCTTTTAAAACACCATGGTTTGGATATGGTGATAGAAAATCCACCTGTCATTTATTTTGTTCCAAACTGTAGTATTTGGTGATTTTTGGCATTGTGGTTGTTAATTTTGTTATGGTTGTTTATTGTGTTATAGTTGTTAATTTTTTTGTTTATGAATAGCATGGAACGAAATCAGACGACATATAACAATTTAGATACTACATTAATTTCGCAGATTTTAGAAGATGATATTATGAACGTTTGGTACAGAATGAGGAGCATAACCAAAGAACAAAAAAGTCTCTATTTTCTGGAAATATAACGATTATAACTGTACATGTACAAACATTTCCTTTTGCATATCATACCTTTTTCACAATTACAAGGCTCTCTGCATTTGCAAGAATCATTTTAAAATAATGCCAAACAATATAACAACCACCTGTCAACACGTTTCTGGGTTGTTTTTATATACTAGACCTTTTCCATAAAAAATGACCTACTGAGTATCGTGTATCGCATTCATGAGATTCTATTTCAAAACATTGCATAGCTCTGCAGCGGTGGCAATACAGGCGCCGGTGTTTCAGTGTGTCAGCAATGTTTTGACATTTTCGTCGATGTGTACATTGGCCTTAATGCTCATATAATAAATATGGTTTATCATTATTTAGGGGGAGGGAGGTTTTTTCCATGTCCAGGACATATTTTTAGAAGATTTATGTCAAAACCAAAAAAAAAAAAAATTGACTGTACTGTATTGTATGGTACTGCACTTTACTGTACTGTTCTGTATTTATCTGTACTGTACTGTACTGTACTGCACTATACTGTACTGTACTGTACTATACTGTCCGAACACAGGAATTCTGAATGATTTGCTCTTGATGTATGATAGTGCTAATTCATCAAGGTTGCTATAGTAACTTGAACAAATTGCTATTGATGTATGGCAACTGTCAAAAGGTGAGGGTCTAAATATGTTGCCTTGCCAACTGCGCTTACCTGATACCTTTTTGGTATGCCATAAACATAATTCATTGTAGCGGCCTTTAGACTTGACCACACCCTTTGCTATCTCAGAGAAGAATTCAAGTTCTGAGATAAAAGTCTTGACGGTAAAAATGGTGGTAAAAATAGAATGTCATGGAATAACGTGCTGCTCAGTATTTGAATACATTTTCTATTTCGATTCCTTACTTACATGGTTCCTTCCATAGAGTCCGACACTGAGAAAAACGTTAGACTATATAGACACTTATGTAATATAGAAACACGATACAGATCCCCAACCGTCTGATGCATGCTAAACAACACAAGGGTAACAACCACTAACCTGATCATATCCATGAATGCATCCACAGCCGTATGGCTCGACGTGGAGATCTTTCTCCGGGGGGCCTCATGGACTTTGTTCTTTCCCGGTTGGACAGCTAATACGATGGCCACGCCCTCAATAATGGCTAATAGGGTAGAGACAAAGAAACATATGGCGACCCTGAGCCCAATTTTTCCAGATGTTTTGCCAGATAATCCGGCCATGGCGGAGATAAGGCTGGAAACAATCAGGGGGATGACTAACATCATCATCATTCTGATTACCAACTCCCCTGGAAATCGCAGATACATCAATGCCCTTTTGTTGTTCTTGGGGTCGTTAAAAGGTGGCGCGAAACGCAATCCTATGCCCAATGCTATACCAATGAGTATACTGAGCAATAACAGTAATAACTGGGTGTGGCGTCTCCAGCCCTTGCCTCCACATCCTGTCGGACATGTACACGGGCACGAACAAGGGCACCTACAACTACTCTGTCTCTTTTCATATAACATTGTCATAATCCAATAAAGTGATAATCCGATAAAATAACTATTAATCCTACTACATGTCCTAACTAATCCTACGACATTCCAAAGTCATTTTGATGTTTTAAAAGAAATTAATCGCTCAGCTTTTCACAAGTGTTCAAAACCAGAAAATCCATACATGAATTGTATTTTGTACTTAATATTTTGTCGAATGCCCTACTCAAATAAAAGTTCTGATTTGAACTTAAGAGTTCCCTTAGATTTGTACATGTCTAAATAAGTTGCCATCCTATCCCTAAGTAACAATGTTTTCAAGCAGCAAGTGAGCGTAGTGAAATAGTTTCAGATTACTTTACCCTAGCCATTAGCACATAAGTAGCATAACTCACTATATGTACTTGTGTCTTACCCTGACGCTTATTCTGCAAGCCATATTGCCCTCTTACAATTCAGATGATTTTGGAGGTTTGTTGCTGATCGGAGATTAACCGATCTCAAATGGAACTTTCATAGATTTTATAGGATTATGAAAGTAAAATTAATGTTATTCCATAGTTAGCATGATATTCATAGGATAACATGTGAAAATAAAAACGGTATTTTTGTAATCAGTGGTAAAATATGATATTTTTGACAAATTTTCACTTAACCATAACATACGGTTTTTTAGCCATGACATACGACGTCGTATGCGATGGTTTATGGAGTTTTGCTACTTCAGACTCAAAACGAGGCTAAGTGTCAACATCGCCGGATCGTTTGGAAATTCGAATTAAATCACTTAATTTCCGACGATTCTGATGATGACTTCAACTATGGAATAAAAAGAACATCCTATGATTTACTCGTGATATGATTTTAATCCACTCATGGATATTGATATCTGCACTCTCTCGCTACGCTCGCTCGTGCAGATATCATATCCATTCGTGGATAAAAATCATATCACTCATAAATCATAGGATATCCTCTATTTTCATAAGTTACAGGCTGATAATGCGGTGCTGTGTTCATGGTATTCTTGCACATCATAGAGAGAATCAGATCTAGCGATCGAGAATAAAAAAATTGTTTCAATTTTAGAATATTTTTGGCTCATACTATTCCTTGCCATTTTCTAAAAATCCCAAAAGTGCATATAAACTATCTCCAAGGAAAACTAACGATTTTTACTGTAATGTAATATTTTTTTATTCCTATGGTTACTATTTCTATTATTTGGAAGAATTCAAACACTTCCCCCATTTTTTCACTCTAAATCATCAATAATCCAATTTATGATATATCGCAGATATTTTGGAATTGAAATCATAAGGAATATATTGGTAGGCTAGCTGAATATGTTGCTTGCAATTTTGTAACCCTCTTATAGTTCTGTTCGGATATACTGTAGGCAAGATTGGGGAAAGTTGTTTTATTAAAAAAATTCAGAGTGTAGATAAAGACGAGACTTGTAGAGGGTACAAAAGCCTAGAGGTGGCTCATAAAAGTGCAGTTACACAGCTGTAGAAGTCAAGAATTTACAAGTTGACCAGACATTAAACTATACGGCTAGTGTGATGATTCGATGTTGTTAGTGATGATGCGATCAGTGTAAAGTGTAAACTCACATCATGTAAAGGGAACTGGAAATACTGTCAACTTTATATTTGATCATTATTAAAGTAAGCCCAATTTTTACTGATTTTGGGAAAACATAAACCCGGGTACCATTCAACTCAAATTCATTTGCAGGCTTGACTCAAAAATTGACAATTATCCCTAATATAAAGAATAAATTGGAAAAATTGGACTGTGTTCTTACAAAATGTGAAAAAAAAATTCTCCTGAAAAAGTTACAATTGTTAGTAAAGTGAACTTCTTCAAGTGGATTCAACATGTATTAATCAAAGTTAACTATCTCATGGAACTATGGACACATAATATACAGCCTTAAACAATTTAGAATAATTTAAATTACTGATTGGAATTTAAATTCATCTATTATCGCCCACTGACTTTTTTTCTAAAATTTATCTTCTGCAATGGATTACACTGAGGCAGTACAGGCTTTCCTGGATGATCCAGAATCTAAATACAAACTTAGAATACTACAGGATAAATATCCTACCAGCCTCATCCCAGAAACTCTAAAAAGAGCAACTGGAATACTTGCAAAAAAAGCCAAATGTGATGAACTTGCTCCAGAATGCACAACGCCAGACTATATAGTCTTTAAGACATCAGCTGAACACCTACACAATTGGATGATGGCAATACACATTTACTTTCAATTTATTGCCACTGAAAACGACATCAGCAGAAACTATCAAATCGGCAATGAGGCCAAGCTGTCTTTTGCCAGCACCGATGTTCGCACACACAATAATGCCGAAAACGTGAGTGAAATATTGTATAAAATCACCATCTACATGACCACCGGCACAATTGTAATACAAGGAAAGTCTGCGAAGACTTTGTTTGTAGAAAGCTTCCTCAACCTAAAAGAATTGAGAGACTTCATTGCCAGGCAAGATGAATCTTTTGATATCTCCAGTGTCCACCAGAACTCCCTTTTGGACTCAACATTAGAGACACACGCGTCATCAACAACATTACTGAAGGTGATAACCCCATTACCATTACAATCAATTGAAGTAAAAAGTCATTGCGAAAACAACAATCAGACATCAATTGAAGAACAAAGTAATTGTGAAGAAGATTCTCTTGCAGATGTCTTGCTCTTATTAAACCAAATAGATGAAAGAAACCAAAAGAGATGTGATCAACTGGAATCACTCATTCGAGACCAAGAAGTCAGATTTATGAGGAGTCTGAAAACTGAGGCCCGATCGCTCCTTGACGAAATCAAGCACTCGTCAGACTTGACAAAGTCATTTAATTCTGATACTACAAAAGAGATACGTGAAGTTAAAGGTGCAATCCAACGAATGCAGAATGCACCTACAAAACCAAAAGAACCTAAGGCGCCTACCGCTGCTTCAAAACCACATGAGCCTTGTGAGGATATGCCCCTGGCACATTTACAGTCTGAGATCATCAAAGACAATGTCCAAACTCAAGCTCCCACCATATCTTCCCAGCGACAAGAACCTCATCAGGATTTACCTAGAACATCTCCTCACTCTGCCAGAGGTCGTACTACAAATGCCCCAAAAGATCAAACCCAAAAGCCAATACGTACTCTCTACTTGAATAGGTCAACAACCTCCCTAATTATTGGTGACTCTCGACTAAGAAAAGTTAAACCGCAAAATCTTGGTGCACCTGTAGCAGTACGTACCTATGGAGGTGCTACCCTATCAAATATCAAGGATTCTATAGATTCTAGCAAAGATAGTCCTAATCTTAGAAACATCACACTTCAAGCTGGAATCATCGACATAAAAAATAGTTCGTCCATGCTTGACATCAAAGCTGATACAATGTTACTTATTGAGACAGCTAAATCTAAATTTCCAAATGCCAAATTCCTCATCTCATCTATTATACCGATGCTGAGCCACAAACTGAATGAATCTGTGAGGGAAGCGAACACCATGCTTGAATCATTGGCAAAGTCGACTCCCAATGTTTCCTATCACTCATGTTATGAACAATTTGGAAGATTCAACACAGTAGATCGCAATCTTTTCTATGATCAGTCTCATCTCAATGATGCTGGTGTAGCAAAGCTTGAGACATTTCTAAAATCCCTTCCTGGAAACTGTGAATCCCCTACGGAATCTATACCTCAAGTCTCTGACGCAACTCAAACTGCTGTTTCCGACTCAACTGCCAGTATCCAACCAGTGCATCCTTCTAATACCCCGATTCCACAATCAAACAACCCCCGCTATGCTCCTGTACAACCATATGTGCATGACATACACTCTGGATTTAACTCATATAACCCCACTGCTGTCCATCCCGCCCATGTTTTACCTCAAGGACATCAGCGCTGGGCACAGTATGCTCCACCACCTTATGGATGGCAATGGAACCAACATCAACTGTGACGATCTTGCACTTCGTTTCCACTCTTGTCAGTTGGTTGATTTGAAAGATCGCCACTTTGTTAACTTATACTCACATTTTAAATGCTATCGCAATTCTCCATATATCAGAGTTTAACCATTTTCTTTCAAAATTTCAAATTAAATGTTTTTGTTATTGCCGCCATGTTGGATGCACTTTGACCTTTGGTCCTGGGAAATAGTTCCTCTTTCAACACGTTATTACTCAAGTATTTCACTCTATTTCATGTGTTAAACCTCATGTTTATTTATATTATTACCCTATATTTGGGTATTTTAACTTCAATCACTCTTAACTTAGCTTTAAACAGAGGAACTATATTCTCCAGCCCCAAACTAGCGCAATTAGGTACGCGCATAAATATTTTACATTGTGCGAATCCGAGCTTCTTCTGGCGAGTCGATATTTTCAATTCTCCGTCTTTTGGATATTTTACAAGATACGCAAACTCTGGATATAACTACTGGATATATATACCGCTGATTACATTATGGAGAGTCGTGATACAGGCACAGGCCAGGTAATTGCATTTATTTAGGTTGCTCAAGATTGTCGAAACTTGCTGGGTTATTTCACTGATTTTACTGTTCGATCATTCAAACTCAACTTTATACAAGAATTTGACACTATTTGTAGCGCATTTATTGTTATAAACCCTTGTTAGAGTATTGTGGACCAATTTAACTACGTTTTCGCAGCCCATCGGGAGCGAAAACTTCAATTTAACACAGGGTCATTGAGGTCACTTGCCAAGCCTATGAAGCCCGTGAAGCCTTTTGGGCTGTAATTGACTTCCCTGGTACTGACCTACCCCCTCCCACACTTACATGTCAATACTCTAAGTGGGCTACATATTGGTGTTTTCATTTGACTTAATGCATTCATATTATACTTAACGGCCTATACTTAAAGTTCTACCAATTTGTCTGGACACACTTGTTGTATTAAACGTGCTCCGATCAGCTGATCAGTGTTATTGTTTACGTTTAAGGTCAAGTGTCAGCAAAAAGTAGTTCTCACTTTTGGCTTCTGTATGTGAAAACCAGCGGTGTTTCAAACTTGAGTGTACACATGCATTCCATTGCCAGTAACTGTTAGTGACTTGTAACATTGTGAACTTGTTAATTTATTACAGTAGAATAGATTTGTTTTTATACATTTTTATAAAGATCCCTTTACACGCCAGAGTTTGTTTATTTCTTGGTAAAGCTTAGATGGTAAATTCCTAGCTAGATTATTCAATCCCCCTCCCGTTGTATTGGAATTGAAATTATTGACAGAAGCCCATTTGTAGCCAGCTGGTTATTTATGAACAGACACTTCAACTGTAAATTGTCTTTACAGATACTTATTAGGTTGTTTCACGTCTGATTTCTCTAATGCCATGGCTTTACAAAATGCACACTTTTGTTTCCACTGCACTAATTTCTCACCTAACCTAATATATCTACCCTGTGGCCATTACATCTGCTTGTATTGCAAAATCTTACTGACATTGACTGACCCCCAACATTACCCTGAGCAAGAGATTTGTGCATGTACTTTCTGCATAGACCAGTGGAAAACAGATGACACTTGTTGTCCAATTTGTTTCGCAGAGGTCTCCTGTAAAGGTCAATCGCACGCCTGTCCAGGTAGTTAATTATTTGCTCACACGGTAATTGGGAAATTGTCACACAAGATTTGCAACGTTCTTAATTTTCCTGATTGCTCAGCCTGATTACCCTACATATTATTTACCAACATATTACAGTGAAATCTGTCTTTGATCCACTATATATCATCTGATTACAGTGAAACTTGCATTGGCCCACTATTTACTGTATGATTACAGTGAAACCTGCAATATCAAACACCTCTTGTTATCACATACACCAATGTGTCCATATGAAGTCACGCCTTTATAATGAACACCTTTCTATGGTGAACATATTCTTGTGACTTCATAAGTGTTCAATTCCCACGAGTTTCACTGTACTCAGAAAATCTTTAACCAGACTAATCAGCTGATTTCTGACATAGTGTTCTTAATAAAGCCCCTGTAAATGGCTTTCCTGTTCAACTAACCCCTCCCACTTTGAATTGACAACCCTAACCATTGCAATCTAGTACATGCAGTACATGTTCTTAATAAAGCCCCTGTAAATGGCTTTTCTGTTCAATTAACCCCTCCCACTTTAAATTGAAAACCCTAACAATTGCAATCTAGTAAATGCAGCACATGTTTTTAATCCAGCCCCTGTAAATGGCTTTTCTGTTCAACTAACCCCTCCCACTTTGAATTGAAAACATTAACAATTGCAAACTAGTACATGCAATATCTATTATTTGAGACATCAAATATTACTTCCTTTTCTGTCCGATTCCCAATCACGCTACCACATACGGGTCGTGACAGAAAAAATGGTGGCCTAGCGCTGAGATGAAATACTTGTATGTATTAACCCAAGCTCATTTATATGTCTTATACTAATACTGTATATATTCTGGACTAAAACTGTTATTTCACAATGTCGGAAATAGCAAAGATGCTCAATATGGTTAAACGCGTCCCGTTACCTTCCTCTGATTCAACGGAACAGGCTGCATTGAGCCAAAAATCACATGCAGGCTCTTTTGAACCTTTAATCCCAACGGGGTGGTTTGATGATTCTGAAGTAGTTTTGGGCCATCAACCTCTTAATGAACAAGAGTTGAAACTGGCACAAGATGATACACTTCCACTTGAATCAACTACACCACCTCCAATAAGGAGACCATCTCCTTTTAAACTGTCACCGCCTGTTAAATTGACACGCATTCCAAGATTACATGGGGATACGCTTAGTTCATTTCAAAAAGCTAAGGTTTCTAATCCCCTGCTTCAAATTAAGCAGGAGACAAAGAACCAAGAAAGTGAGATGAATTTGGTATTTCCCAAAAATGTTGGAAAAAATGTGAGTAGTATAGGTGGAGCATTTGAACCCCCCAGAGCAGGTGTACCCGGATCCCTAGAAAGGGAAGCCCTAATGGGTGCCTATGGGGGAAAGCCAGCTAAAAGAGCTTTTGGAAAGCCCTTTCCAGCCTATGGAACAGGGGCTTCTGCTAAGCGACGTTTTTCACCTCTCAGTTTGGCTCCCTATTTGAAACCAGATTTGGGGTCCAGTAGTCAAAGATTTGCAAAGCCTAAAAATGAATTAGATGGTATTCAATTCTTACCTCAGTCCACTGCATTGAAAAAACAGAGTGATGAATTGTTTAAGTCATCACTATCAAAGCCTCCAGATGTTCAAACGCCTTATCATGGTTACACTAGTCAGCAGTCCAGCCGATTAACACAATCATTTGTTAAAGCATCTGCTACTGGTCCAGGTTTTTTGACATCTACTAGGGCTTATACTGCTGGTAGATCTGAAAGTCATGATGGCTTCTCTGATTCAGGCAAGAGTCGACAATCATTCCATACTCCTTCCCAATCACCAAGATTGAAGCCTTCCAGCCACTCTAGTGTTTCTAGTTCTGAGCACAGATCTAAAAGCCTTGGCTATTTGAGTGCTGCTAGCATTAATCAGCAGTCTAAAGTCCATGAAGCCACAGAGTATGATTCATATTCTGAGACTCGATCATGGATTGATGCTCAAATACCCCATGCTAATCAACCCCTACAGAGGACTTTAGATAGACCCTCTGTAGGTAGAGGCCGTGCTCTTACTAGACAATTGAGAACTAGGCAGAAGCTTTCATTGTCTCCGGTGAGGGGGTCTGGGAAGAGAATCAAGTCTTCTAAACTGCCACAAACACTTCATTCTCAAGCTGATATGCTAACATCTGCTGAGTCAGATTCTGATTATTCTGTTTTTGACAGAAAAAGCAGACATAGTCAGGCAAAGTATCGACAGAGGTCTGATCATTTTATGAGTGACACTGACGATTATACTACAGCTTTTGATGAGGTTGAACCAAGCACTAGATCTCAAAAGAAGAATAAATCCGTAGTAAAGCCTTCTTATCCAAGCTTTATCAGGAAAAACAAGCGATCTACTGCATTGCCCAGACTACCCAGTTCTGATTCTTCTAGTGAGATTTCAGCCAAGCCTGAAAGTCCAATAAAAGCCCCTGTATCTTCCAGAAAAGACATGAAGCCACCCACTTTCAATGGAAAGTGTAGCCTTTCTGCCTTTTTGACACAATTCCGTCTTGTTTCTAAGTTAAATAAGTGGACAGATGAAGAATCTTCTATCTATATGGTAAGAAGCCTAGAAGGGGAAGCAGCTAATGCATTGGATGATCTCGATGAAGATGATCAGCCATCTTTGGAGAGTATAATCAGTGCTTTACAAATTAATTATGAGCCTCCCCAGCAGGGAGATAATGCCCGAGCTATATTGAAAACAAAATTACGAAAGCCTGATGAACCATTGGAACAATTAGCTCATGATATAAGAAAATTATCGCGCAAAGCATTTGGTATGTTGGGTATGCCTAAAAAAGGTATTGAGAATGCAGCTAAACAAGCCTTTATTGATGCATTGAATGATGTTGACTTAGAGTCCAAAATCTCCTTCGCCAATCCCTCCACACTCAATGAAGCCTTAACTCTTGCTCTCCAACACGAATCCTTCTTTAGAGGGAGGAGAAGGAGACTACAGAGTAACAAGGATCCAACGGTTAGGGTCACACAGACTACAAACCAGAGTGCTTCCATTGTACCTCCTTCACCTTCCCATGAAGAGGTTTCAAAAATGATTGAGAGAAAAATGAAGGAATCATTGGACAAAAAGTCTACACATACCCATAAACCCAAGAAATATGCCACATACTGTAAGATTTGTGACACTACTGAACATTCCATTTTTGATTGTGAGAAACGCCATCCTAGCTCCAAGGTCCCTGGGGCTAGGGTGTGTTTCTACTGTGGGGAAGACCACAGAATCAGCCAATGTCCTGCCCTTAAAGGGAATTCTGGACAATCGGAAAACTAACTTGTGCTGAGTCGGTGGGTCACGATTCAGCATCTAAGCCACAACGACCCACCAGCTCTATAAATCCTAGTGGCTACAATGGCTTGTGTCTAGAACTGAAATTCAAACACCTCACAGTTCCTGCTCTAATTGATTCGGGATCTCAAGGAAGTTTGATATCAGAGAGAACAGCCAAATGCCTTGGTAAATCGCTCACCTATGAACAAGGTGAGAATCTGCCAAATGTAATCATGGCTGATGGAAGTCGCTCTCCTGCCTTAGGCAGAGTAAGATGTGATTTTCAGCTCGGAGACACAAAGTTTTTCCATGTTTTTCTAGTAGCTCCACTGTCATGTGCTGCCATATTGGGCTTTGATTTTCTTGAAGCTCATTGTGGAGTGCTTAGTGTTCGTGAAGCAACTTTGAAACTGAATGGTGACTTCTATGACTGTGTCCTAGAAAGTACAGTCAATTCCTATTGTAAGATTGAAATGTGTGACACTGTGTCCATTCCCCCTTTGAGTGAAATTGTTGTCCCTGGGAAGACACAATGTGTCTGGGGTGAAACACCACTTGTGATAGGTGAAAATCCCATTGACCCTGATCTTGACACCACTATTCTGATTGCTAGAACTTTAGTTAATCCAAGCAATCCCTTTATACCTATACGTATTGCAAATGTTGGCTTGCAGCCTGTAGAGTTGCATAAAGGTAGACCAATTGCCATTGGCGAGCCTGTGTATGACGAACTTCCTGTTTCATCAGTGCAGTATCATGCAAAGCCAAGTGATAAAAATACGTCTGATATCCCCACTAAAGCCCCTGCTAGCTCAACTTTCCGGAACACTTGTGAGGCTAAAATGGCTACTGAGAGGGATACAACTTCCCCCCTAAATTTGAATGATACTACTAACAAGGGCCCGACTGTTTTACAAAGTATCACTCATCCTGCTCAGTCAATGGAATCAACAGGTAACTCCAAACCTGATCTTGAAACCTGTTCCATTGAAAATGAATGTAATTCAACACCAACCTTGACTTCTGCAGTAGAAGAGAAAGCTGTTTTAATTGAATCAGTCCCAGAACACATACAGGGCTTACTTGCTGAAAGTATAGAATCCCTAACTTTTTCTGAAGCTGAACGAGTTAAAACATTCCTCTTTGAAAATCTTGATTTGTTTGCCAAGTCAAAATTTGACATTGGTCGAACTGATATGGTACAACACCATATTGACACTGGCGAGTCAAAGCCCATAAAACAGGCTCCCAGAAGAATTCCTCATTCCAAACAAGACGAAGCCAAAGAAATCATAACTGATCTTCTTGATAAGGG